GGATTGGAGCACAAGATCCGAACGGGGTCGCGCCGCCTACGGATCCTCAGTGGAACATGACCACTGCTCCGGGATCGGCGGATGCTTTCCCGTCATTCAACTGCCCGGGAATCCCCTTTTCGCGGCCGCCGCGGTCGTTTCGAAGACGTTTTCGCTGCGCGGCGCTAACACGTGTTCGACGCACGAGTGGCAGGAATGGCTCAGGCGCTTCTAGCAACGATTGCCGGAATGCCCCGTAGCGCGGCAAATACCTTCTCTTCTCCTTCCTGGAAAACGAACCGGCTGTCGAGCCAATGGGTAAGCAAGCGGCCATTACGAATTCTTCTGATGTCGAGACAATCTAGGAGCCCAGCCCGCGACGTGCTTCTTCTTCTTCTGAGGCGAGATGGGCGAAATCACAGTAGGCGAAATCAGGCGAGATGCCCCACGAGAAAGGAAGTCACGTGTGTGCGCCGAGGGCTCCGCAATCGTTGGAGCGACTTTTCTCGTGGCGAATTCCACGGGTCGTTTTGGAGCGCGCCGGGGATCGATTTTTCCGGAGGCGAGCCTATTTCACGGGGCGATAGGGATCGAGACGAACTTGTTCCACTGGTAGTTTTGGATTAGCTCCCGCTCCAGATCTCGATCTGGATCCGAGAAAAGTCGCTCCCCCGATTTTGGCGGATTCAACCGGGAAGCCAGCCGGGTCAGCCTTCGGCGCACACATGTGACTTCCTTTCTCGCGGGCATCTCGCCTGATCTCGCCTCAGAAGAAATGGTAATGGCTGCCTTGCTTACCCCTTGGCTCGACAGCCGGTTCGTTTTCCAGGAAGGAGAAGAGAAGAGAAGGTTTTGCCGCGCTACGGGCATTCCTGCAATCTTTGCTAGACGCTCCTGAGCCATTCCTGCCACTCGTGCGTCGAACACGTGTTAGCGCCGCGATCTCGAAAAAGTTGATGCTTGGAACTTGGAACCAGCCGCTACCAGACACCTGATTTGTTTCAAAAATACCCAGGACGTTTTGGGGGAATGAATCGATCACATAGCAGGCGGTAGACAAGTAGACAGCGTTGAAAAATATTTATTCCACCGATTGTTATGAAGGCCGATGGTGTCGGTGTCGCAGTTTTGAAGCACTGTCAGTTCAGCTCAACACCACGTTACAAAAGACGGTTTGGGGTACTGCCGGTGCTAACGCAATTTCACAGTAGAAATAGGAATTGCATGAAAGAACCGGACAGAAACACTTCATACTGTGGCGTAAATGCCGAACATATACCAGCGATGTCACCTTCCTCGGTTAGGGCTATCTGCTTTGTCAGCGAATGAAGAACGTTTCGATACAATAAAGAGCGAAAAATACTCCCCGTGTCAAGTTTTCTAATTACAGCCACTGGTTGATGTCGTACCGTGGTAATTCCCGGCACTTCCAACGCACTAGCACTTTGTAGAGTCACATTTCCAGCGATTCCGTGCCGCATACGAACGAAGGTAAACAATCAAGATGGCGGAGTGTTCCCCGTGTTGTCCACGCCGTCAGCGCGGTTGTGACAGCGATTTTGGCCCCAAAGCGGCGCGATTTCTGCCGTCGCGGCGCTCGTGCCGCAGAATTGCTGGTGCTGGCCTGAGCGCCGCGACGGCAGAAATCGCGCCGCTCTAGGGTCAAAACCGCTGCATGTGAACTAGGCTTTAGGGGTGTCGCGAACCGGCCGCGGTTCGAGTTCGACTAGGTTCGACTTTTTCGAACTTTTAGTGGAAAGTCCGACAAACCTTGTATCGAGGTTCGACTCGTGTGCGCATGCGCGTCAGGCTGGCTCGTTGGCTTCGGATTGGATGGGAATGGCTAAGAGATGAATTAAGTGCAGCGCTGATTGGCTATATCAGTTAATACAGTACTAAAAATTAAGTTATTAACTTCTTCAGTAATTAGATTTAGTTTCCTTTAATTGCAGCTGTTCACAAAATAAAATAACCCTTTGCATAAAAAAAAATTCTCCAAACCCACACATGCTTGTATCAAGGGCTGGCCACACTGTCCACAAAGTCGAACCGGTCGAATCTGGCGAAAATATCGAAGGTTCGACCCAGTCGAACCCCGAAAGTTCGACCAAAAAATCTGGTTCGACAAAAGTTCGCGACACCCCTAGACAGGGTTGTCGGACAACAAATCGGGCAACACTGTTGCCGGGCGGCAGCAACATGTTGCCCGACTGTTGTTGTTGCCGCGATGTGACAGGGTCGCCGGCAACACGACTTCCCCGTGTTGCCGGATAGATTTGTCCAACTGTTCCCCTCAGTGTGACAGGACCTTTACCTCTTGGCTCGACAGCCGGTTCGTTTTCCAGGAGGGAGAAGAGAAGGTTTTGGCCGCGCTACGGGCATTCCGGCAATCTTTGCTAGAAGCTCCTGAGCCATTCCTGCCGCTCGTGCGTCGAACACGTGTTGGCGCCGCGATTGCGAAAACGTCTTCGAAACGACCGCGGCGGCCGCGGAAAGGGGATTCCCCGGCAGTCGAATGACATGAAGGCAAATGCCGATCCCGGAGCAGTGGTCATGTTCCACATGGGGATCCATCGCCGGCGGCGACCCCGTTCGGATTGTGAGCGCCATTCCGGATCTGGTCAACTGATCCCGGCGCGCTCCAAAACGCCCAGTGGAATTCGCCATCGGATCCAGATCAAGATCTGGAGCGGGAGCTAATCCAAAACGACCAGTGAAACATGTCGGTCGCAATCCCGATCGCCCAGTGAAATAGGCTCGCTCCAGAAAAGTCGATCCCGGCGCGCTCCAAAACGACCAGTGGAATTCGCCATAAAACGTCCAAATTGAGACACCCAGTCGCAGCGACGGCTCATCGCTGCTGCAGCTGTTTGTGTGTGGCCGGGTTACCGCGAAACCGAAACAAAACAGACGTCATCCCCAGCTTTGAAATTCAGCACTGCCTGCCACGATATCAGGTTGGGGCGCGACGCTATCATTTCCGCGGCACCGCGGTACAGTGCCCAGATTTGAGAGAGCTCGCAGCAACTTCAAGGGCGCTTGTAGTTTAATGGCGGACGCCTTCTGAACAGGTTGGCCGAGGAGCAAAGCGGGCGGAAAGGCGGATGCGTTTGCAGACGATAAAAAATTTTTCTGCCTCTTAGTTGGACTCAATCAAGTTATGTCCTCCTCCTCCTCGCAACTCCTCTGGTGCGCCCCAGGAATAGAGTATGTGTCGATGATTTGGGGATCCCCGTTCGTTCACCGACACAAATAAGTAAACTGGAACGCATTCAAAGACTCGCAACTAGATTCCTTTGTGCAATAGGCGATTTTGTCACGGCTTTGTTGAAAGGAGCTTAGCCGTCTCCCTTAGCAACAAAGCGTAAAATTGCTCGGTTTCATTTCTTTTTAGTGTTGTATTTTAGAGGCCGACACCAAACTCGATATTCTGCAAGGCAGAAGATCCTCGTCACAATGGGGGAGGAGGAAACAGGCGACGGTAGACAGGGTAGAAGGGAGGAGAGGAGGCAGGGGGCCAAGAGTGGAAAGCGCAACTGGTCGTCGGTCTTCAAGCGCTTTATCGTTCACACGCAAGGCTACATAGGACCGTTTGAAAGGCAATCTCGGCGTTTGAATCACAAATTTTCAGTTAGTTGACCTGCACCTACCCAACATTGAAGTCTACCGAAACATTTTTCTTCTTTCCTCGTGAAAACTTCGAAGACTGGAACAAATTGCCACAGAGTGTTTTTACCGGCAATTCTTCCGCAGACGCATTTGAAAGAAGAAAAAAAAAATGTTGAACTTGTTTCCTGATGTATAAAATCAATGCCGATGTGTATAACTTCTTGTGTCGTATTTTGTATAACTACATGTTGTAAACCCCTTCCCGGAATAACCCGTAGAGGTTGGCAGTATATATGAAATAAATATTGCAAACGAGGCGCCACGTGACTCTATCGAGCAGTCGGAATCCCTCTGAAATCCAGGCACACCGCACCCCGGCAGGATGGTGTACGCCGTGGTTGCGGGCGTTCTCTTACCGAAAACTTGATCCTGCAGACCGCGGTGGCTATTTCTGTTCAGCACCGCGGGATCAGCAAAGAAACCGACGTGGGCTCGGTTGGCTGTGAACTTCGCATCGAAAGAAAAACGAAAATGTTTGTTATGCGAGCGTCTAGACTACACTACGACCGCATTCAAAACGGCCTCCTTAGGCAAACGCAGCGACGAAGGCTTACGTATATAATATTAAATGTTTTCTTCTGTATGCGGGCACGACAGTATTGTTGGTATATGCCACTATGCCATCACCCAATACATGGTTTCTGGAGTGTGTCTGCATTCTCGAGCGCGTGGCTTCAGTCTCATTTATACGACAGCGCGTGTAAATAAAACGCTATGCTCCCGTTCAACTGCACGGAAACGAAATGTTTGCATTTTTATTTTTGTTTAGATGAGGTTCATGTTGTGCCGCATGTAGCCAGAATTTTGTTTCGGGGGGGGGGGGGGGGGGGGGGCACCCATGACAAAATGCTGTATGAGGAGGAGGGAGACCTCCTCATACAAACCAGCAAAATGGAACATTTGGGGGGGGGGGGGGGGGAGGGGGGGCGCCCCATATGGGCCTCCCCCTTGGCTAGCGCCTGTTGTGCCGGCCACCCAGAAATACTAGCCTACACAAATGTTTTCTGGGCTGCAACCAGATAATTCAAGAAAACACAATTTAAAACGAATGAACAGATTTCAAAATTGTGTTTCCAGATGATTCCAGTACGCGTGCACTCGTGCAAGGAAAATAAATTGAAAGAAAAAAAAAAAAAAAAAAAAAAAATGGCCACGATTTCGCGTTTGCATCGGTCACCCCAGCTGAGAAAAGAAAGATAAACGACCCTTTGTCGTGGAACGCTGAGAGTCTGCTCTGAACTTGAAGTCCGATGTATCGGCGAAGAGTTGAGTTGTTATCGCAAGTCTACTCCCCTAATGGCACGAGCAGAGCGAAAACGGTCTGACCACCGCGGAATCGAGATAGTGAAGGTGGCATGACAGCTGCGTGGAAAAAAACAAACAAAGAAAAAAACGATGCCTGTTACAAGTTTTTCGTTTTGAAAACGGGGAAGAACGTTTTACTGGACCGTTTGCTAGAGTCCCGCCGGAGGTGCTGCGTACCGACGGTTGATAATAATACGTGGGTGTCGCAACGACTGTTGACATTAGTCTCGACGTTTTCACACGACGCGCGTTGAACGAAACTCTCTCCTGGCGGCAGGCGAGCAAGCGGCCGCGCGTGTGACAAAGTGCTGCGTTTCCCCGCAGTGTTTCGCCAGGGGAAATCCAGGCGTCGTGGTCGTCACGGCGCGCCCGTTCCTACTGCGCGTGCGTCGCTGACCTCCGCGCATGCGCCGTTCGCTGCTCGCCGCGCGAGGGCGCCAGCTCCGCGGTCAGGCAAATGATTCGTCTGCTACGTCTGCTCCGGCGGGCATTTCCACAGTCGTCTGCGTTTGATTCAAGCCGAACGGTCGACAGAAGTCGGACTCCTCGTAAACAGTTCGTCGCAAGTTTCGCTGTCCCTGTGCCCCGTTCGAGTTTTGGGATTCCTTTCTCCACGTCGTCGGCTTCAGCTGCTGTTGCGAATTTGTGTCAGTGAATCTCGTTTTGCGTCTGGAATACGCCTTTTGCCCGACCCACAAATGGCCACCGGAGTTCTAGTGAGTTACCCGTCCTCGGCCCTGCACGAATCACGCTCGGTCGTCTTCAAGAATAGCAAAGGTAAGGCACGATCACGGCGATCTTAAGTCTCTACAGTCCCGAACGATCACGTTCGCGAATATAAACGGAGTATTCCGATTAAGCCTGACCGTTCGAGACTTCATTCCTTACGCGCGTATGGATTTTACATCGCAAAGGTGGTCAAGCCTCTGCGAGCGTTCCAAGTCGTTTTATCAACACACCATAAACAAAGTGTCATCGCACAGCTGGTCGCAAAACCCCCCAGAAACAAACCATAACAATCATTACAGCCTTACGGTTCGCGCTCTACAGCTTCGCGACGATTTCGTTGATCGCAAAACTATAAATATTCAGCGTCCGCAACTCTACCTGTGTCAGACAGGCTCCGCGTCGAACGAAAACTGAGTAGAACAAAACTCCGCCGATCATCGCCTGAATTATAACTCCAAAACCGGTTATAATACCACTTTCACGAGTGGCAGCGCTCGTGAAACTTCCGATCGTAGTCGCATTTGAACCTGTAACGGAAACTGCAGCTGTAAGCCCGCCGATATCTTTCGAAGCTGGCTGACACAATGCGCTTGGACTCGAGTGGCCTTGGTGGGGGTTCATGGTTTCGCGTTGTCCGTGTGCGCGCGCGCGGCGGGTTATTGTACTCCACGAGACATTTGGTGGAGACCAAAGAGCGTTGAACCTGTGCGGAACACGGGAAAGGGAGACAGGAGAGGACTGGTGGTCTCGAATGGGAGGGCCAGCCACGCCAGCTTCCCAAAATAATAGGAATCGTTTTTATTATTATGTTCTTTTTATTCTGGACGGGCGCATTTGATTGCGGGAGGTTCACGACGAAACAGTCCTGACCCGCTTCTCCGTATTTCAGGGAAAAATAAATAAATAAGTAAGACGGGGAGAGGGGATAGCCGGTTTCTGGGCCAACGGTAAAATAACGGGTCGCGGTTTTCCTGCACGCCACGGCAAAGTTATGCAGAAAAAGAAAAACACAAAACGTGGAGTAAAAAATCGGATCGCTTCATGCTGGCGGTTTTTTTTTTTTTGTTTTTTTAATCGCTCGACTGAGACGTGGGCGAAAGCTAGGTCACGGCAGGCGCGTCTTCAAACAAGATAGTTTTTTCTCGCTCCTTAGTCTTGGAAAGTTGGTGATGCACGATGTTTGCGAGATCGTCTTCCACTAAAATATAACAGCGACAAACAAAGCCTAGAACAGGAGCAACAGTGCATCCGGTTTACTGCTATCTGCAAGTGTATATAGGCAAATTCGACGTCGAATCCACCCCTGCGTGGTAGAAGTTGGGCGACAGCGGTTACACGCGCGTGCGTGAAAAAGCCGTTTCTTGCAAGGCCGACTGTTGGCGACTGTGTGCCGCGACGTTTCGGGCTGTTACACAACCTCGCGAGCGACCTAGATTGTTTTGCAACAGGGTCTCGGCGCTGCTGCCGGGAGTCAATTGGGTCTTGTAAAAGGCCAATTGGGTCGTTTCGACGTCGTGGTGAAATGCAAGCGGACTCTTTTGACATCCGCATCACGCTTCAGGTGGTGGTCCGATAAACATCCCGACACAAGTGTTGGCACTTTCCAGGCAACCAGGTCGCAATCGTCGCCAGGGGCTTTCAGACCTTACTACTCCCAAAGACCCCAGTCTAGCAAAGGTATACGTACTGCTCTGGCTAAACTCCTCACATACCAGAATACGCTGTGGTGAGGACGACGAGAAATAGGACCCCCTTTTGTTTTTCTAGAGGTGGAGGCCAACTTGTTACCTTAAAGAGACTTTAAGGATGCTTTAAGGTGACAAGTTGGCCCTCCTCGAACAGGCAGAGCACGAATTCTTCCTCGAGTGAATCATAACGACACTGGCTGCCAGCACGCGGACTAGTGCAAGCCAAAAGAAAATACGCCCAGCTAGTTCTATCAGAGGGACTATTTCAGGACACAAAGCTTCCCGTTTCATTGTTTTCCTGTTGCCCTTTTTTTTAATTTTGGTTTTTTTAAAACGCTGGCAACAATAGCCGTGAAGTGCGATAATACACACAATTAGTGGGGGTAGACGAAAACCTTTTTTTTTTTGGTAACAGGGAGCTCGCGCAAGCTGCCGCCCGGCACAAAGCGCATAGCCAGTATCATCCATTCATATTTGTTCCGTACAGACAAACCACAAAAAGAGGTCACAAAGCGGTCAGCGCGCGAACAGCAAACGGGCCATGTTTTGTCCTGAGGTCAGCGGCAGCGCGGGCCTCTAGCAACAAGACCGCCTTCCTCGTCCGCCCCTCGCGGAAGATTATCGCGGCCGCAGATAGCGGGACACAAAAGCGTCCGGCACCAGCGCCGACCGCGATTTCAAACAGCCCGGTGGAGGGGGGCCAAATCGGGGGAAAAGCCCCCCCCCCCCCCCCCCCCCCCTCTGCTGCACACCGAAGCAGCAACGACCTCGCTCGCTCCCACATGGCCGCCAGGCAACGGAATGGAAACACAGACGTAAAAAGAAGAAACGTTGGCTGGCTGCAGAAAATAGCAGCCTAGAGAAGGGGCAGGAAGGGCTTGGGAAGAAAAGCGGACTTGTGATTCTATTATGAGAGCGACTGAAAACCGCTCCTCAGCGGCCCTCTGCGTCAGACGCCCGGAATCTTCCTCTCTCTGGAGGGAGAGGGGAGCATCGGCATCTCCAAGGGTGTGGCGCTTTGCCCCGCCCTTTTCCCTTGGTTTTGTACATTTTTAAGTTAGCATGGAAGGGTGTGTCGTCGCTGCTGCTGCTCTGCCCCCCCCCCCCCCCCCCTTTCCCCCCTCTTCCAGAAAAAGAAAACAACAGTGTGTCATACATGCTGTAAGACCCAGTTTGGGATGAATAGCACTCCTCCCCCCCCCCAAAAAAAAAAAGAAAAAGAGGTTGAAATTACATAAATTCAAGTGGAAAGAAGGTATGTGCTGGCTCGTATTACCCTGGTCTTGGTCTTAGTTCTTGCTTACCATTTAGCTTGACTCGTAATTCTAAGTTTAGCGGGAGAATTCAATATTTCTGTTGGATGTTGCAAAAATATCAAGAGTTCTGTAAGCTCTCTCTCTCTAGTCTGTTGCAGGTTAAGAAAAGCCGGACAAGCCCCATCCACAAAGCTCTCCCTTCACCAGGATTGCTGGTTTCCTCCTCTCCAGTGTTTCCTCTGCTAAAGTGGGAAGAGTGGAGGGCTTTGTGCAAGGAGCTTGTCCCGCTCTCCTTAACCTGCAACAGACTATGGCTTTCCCAACAGCGTGTTCATACTCCGCCAACAAGCATGTAAACAGTCCATTGTCACACCTGCGAATACATGTGGCAAAGCCACACAAAGCTCTATCGCTTCCGTCACAAGATGCTCGAACGTAAGCTCCCAGCTGTTTCACCCTGCGTGCGCACGAACGACGCAAACCCCATTTCGGTCTCGTACGTGCGTACTGCAACGGAAACACCTGCAGTGCAAACGGACGTCCACAGGTGTTCCGTCCCAAACCGGAGACGACACGTGTGTGGCTTTGAAACCCACGTCAATGCTCATTGTTGCCCTCCCGTTTTCGCAGAGCTGTGCATCCGGCAGTCCAAGTCGGACCCCGTGCTGCTCACGCTGTCCCAGAGTTCCCTGCTCCGTTGCTCCGACGCCTGGGACAGCATTGAAGACCTGGCGCAGCAGGCAGCCGACGCCAGCTTCCTCACCATTGAGGGCCTCAAGCGCCAGTACAACTCCTGCTCCACGTGAGTTCCTCGCCATTTATGCCAGGCGGCGTTCGCCGGATGCTTACACACAAAGCTCTGCGGCTTAGCCTTTTAGAACTAATGACATCTTTTCGACAAGTTTTGTTGCACAGCGCTAAGAGTCGTCCGGTACTTCGCACACTTTGGTTGCGGTGAAGCGCGTCGAGTGGCCTTACGTTTGCTTGTGATCGCCTGCGAGAGAACACGCTTGTGTCATCTGGGAGGCAGAGCCCTGGGACTACATTAAACTAGAGTGGAAATTTTGCAGTACTTACGACATAAAATGTACACACTTTCTATGAGAAATAGTAGTTTATCACATTGTCGAGGGTTTTAAAGCCCGCAATGAAAGAATGAGGTGCAAAATAAGACAGTGTTGCAGGTCTATTTCTAAGTGATTGCAGGTGAGCACAAGTGGGCATAACAAATTCCTTTGCAACCAAATGCTAGTGTGCAAACCAGCTTTAACTTGCTGCTTGGAATAGGCTGCTGATAAAACTCGTCGGTTATTCCACTCGTAACATATGGCAACTTGGAATGTTCTTCCATAACCATGGTTGTCATAGTTTAAGTGTCTGGCCAGTGTCAAACACCCGTATTAGTCATGGGCATGTGCACGGGCGTTGACAAGCATGGAGATAACGGTCCTGCGAGGCTTTGACCCACCGATAAGCGGCTGCCGAAGGTTGCTGCGACGGGGGAATGCCAAATATACATACAATATACAAAATATACACAAGATAATTACACAGTGGTGCTTCGGTGTTTAGCGTTTCATTTAGGAAACTGTGGACTTATCACAAATGCCAAGCATGATAAGATGACACAGGGCCAGTATATTAAAGCATGGATTGCCTCGTAACGAATGCCCCTGCTCCCAGAGTTGTCTGTTTGCATGTCCACGCATATCCCATAGCATCTGGTGACACGTGGTGTCGTATGACCAGACGTTACACGACGTGGCCACCACGACTCGACACTGTAACGTCGTGTGACATGTCTTCCAGATAGATCTTAACGATTTCTCCTTAGATACTACTCGACCCAGCATTGATTCCTTAATCTGTACTACACAACAATTCCTTCGAAAATTCAATTAAAAATGCAGGTGTACTTACTTTTACTTGCCTGATCACTCATTCGAGCAACGCGGTACTGCAATGTCACTTTGTCTGCAAAAAACGAGCAAGCGCTGATTGGGCCGTCTCTGTGTCGTCGTTTCCTCAGGTGCGGAGTGAGCTGGTACGAAGACCACGTCTCGCTAGACTGCACGGAGTGTGGGGGCTACGCCATGCAGCGCCCCTGCGTCCACTGCGAAGGACGCTGCAGCGGTGTCTGGAGGAGGGACCTCGCAGCCGTGAGTTTCTCTTTTTCTTACCGAACGACAAAAGCTGCAGCAAGAGGATTAAGACTGGTTCACTCATGTGCCTTTGACTGTAATCTTTAGTATGTGGAACTAAAAAGATCACGGCGTGCCCTACCTTGTCCATGCCTCGTAAGTGTCCCTAAAGTGGCAACAAACGACTTCGCAGAAGCCAACTTGTCATGTTATTGGGAGTCTCAATCCTGGAGGCGGGTGATAAACGTCTTGGTGACTTATTTCCAAGATTTCAGGATTATTTCAAGCGCACGGAGAGCAACTGGCACGTAAAATGTGCGGAGATTGGAAGGTGTGATCTCTCGTCACACGTGGTCACGAGCAGTTCCAATGCAGTGAAGCGCAAATGTGTGAACCAGCCTTTGCAGCGAACCAGCACGGGTTGGCATTTTCAGCGTGCAAGTTCAAACATGCAGCGCAGAGAATAATGTCGGTATAGAACTGAACACCAAACCTCGGTGCAAAGCACGTTGGCTAACGTCCCTACCCTTTTGTTTTTGCCTCGCAGTCCCACGAGAAGCGGTGTGCCCAGTGGAAGGGCGAATGCCAGCTGACGGCCAGGGAAGCCCCCAAGGCAGCCCCCAAGGCAGCCACCGAGGCCTCTTGAGGCATGGCAGCCTAGGCACCACCCCAGTTGCACCACTCTCCATGTGTACATAAACCTCCCCTCCTCCCCCTTCCCTCCATGCACCACCACGAGTCTCTGTGCCAGGAGACGGCGGAGCGCCACTTTGCCACGACTCTTCCCGGACACCTCGAGCTGACTGAGAGCAACTGCACGTCCGAGCGGGGGACAGAGATGCACCGGCAAAAAGTTCAGCCTAATCCGTTGCATTTCTAATCAACAACACTCAACAATCGATTGGTTGGAGCCTTCTACAGAAGGAACACCCGTTCACTCCACTAGGAACCGTTTAGCGATTCACCGATATAGCGACTAGAATCGCATTTAGGAACAAGCTCCTCGCTAAAATCAACAACGGATTGCTTGAACCCTTTGACATCTGTAATTTGTCACCGGCAGATGACGTGTCCATTAGTGCATGCTATGGCAAAGCTGTTGTTGTAGGCGAGAAATAATGAAGTGCACCTCGGTCCCGCGGTGGCGCAGTTGCCACAAAGTGACAAGACAAGGTGCTCGAGGTTCCGGAACATTCCAGTTGTGGACATTTGCTTGGCAGAATTGTACAGCATTCTGGCTACGTGCAGCATTCTGAACAGAACGCCATACGTAGTGTGTGTATGTCTGTGTTCTCGTTTTGGCCTTGCCTTTTTAAAACTCTTTTCGAGCGCTTTTTCACGTGTCGTTCGAGTGAACTGTCTGCAAAGTGAGAGACTTTTCTGTATCTGTTTCGTTTCAAACGTCGGCATTTCATTTCTATCCCAATTTCCCCCCTGTCCAACCACCGAAAAACTTATTATGGCTTTCATTGTAGCAGCAATGGAGAAAATGCCACTTGTACATTTTGTCATTGCAATTCTATGAACCCTCATTGTTAAGTTATTTTCCCGCAGTCTGCTTCAAATTACCAATCGGCAGTGTTCATGTGTGTCTTTGCTCGTGCGACCAATGTAGCCTGTCGGAGGAGGCGTCGCGGAAAGGAGCGCGAAAGACGAGTGCCTTTTTTTTTTGTTGTCGAAGCTATCCACCAGAGTGTTGTATTTTTGTAACGCGACTGGACGAAGGAGCCTTAAGGAACGGCTGCCCGTGTACGCCCCTCCAATCAGCATTCAGGTGCCGTCTTTGAGTGTCTTATTTATTATCGAAGCTGTTCACACGACGTGCATACTGTTCCCTTCCCCACTTTTTTTAAAACGATGTGACGGTTCGCAATAAAAGTTCTCTCGCCAGTGAAAAGGGGTTTCCCATTTCTGTCTCAAACGTGCCTTCCGTAGACGATGGCGCCGGCAGCGGTGTGCTGGGATCCGTCCGCCTTGCAGAGCTCGGCAACAGTTGCGTTGTACCACGGGTGGTGGCAAAGCTCCACATTCTCCATCTGAAAGAATGGCCGATGTCGGCATTTTTTAGGGTTGTTCCCTTTGCGGCTTTTGACGCAGATTTGAAGACAAAGTTTCAACACAAATCAAGCCCCCAACTAAACTCGGTTTCGTCGTACGATGGACTGCAGCTGATGCTAGAGGTCGTCGAAGCCAATCCAATGTCGCGTGAGCATCGTGTGACCTTCGGGAGGGGGTGCCGGGCAGGGCGCATTGTCATGCGACACATTCACAGTGCTGGATTGGATGGAATCGCATACCTGTCAAGTTTCTCGTATTCCCCGGGGAGACTCCTGAACTTTGACCATTTCGTATGGCTGTACGTTTAACAAGAAAATCCCCCAGGAAACTGCAATTAACCTCGTCTAAGATGAGGGGGAGAGGGTCCCCCTCAACTTCAACGGGGAATTTCTGCTGCCACAACAGATGGCAGCAATGACAGTAAGGCCCAGCTGTACCTTGCTAGCATGAGCAGTGCAATACAAATGTAATGAAGTTGCCTTCATGTAAATTCATTCATTAATTCATTATTCCTCCCCCTCCCTTGGCTTAGAAAATCTCCTGGATTTTGTTTCTCTGAACTTGGCAGGGATGGGATGTGATGGGATGACCTGTAGCACCCATTGCTCTCCGTCGTAAGGTGAAATGAAGCATACCCGAAAATGAATCTAATAATAATAATAATGCTTTATTTCTTGATGCCCCAGAACAACCAGCCAGACAGAATATGGTGGCACATAAATCAAAACCAAGATAGTCCAGGTTAATAATTTGTTGAGAAATGCCATGTAGATTTAAGAGCCAAAAAGATGCAACTCAAGCTCCTCTTGGATACAAACAAATCTGAAAATACGTTAACATGAGGAGACAGGTTATTCAGACGGTTCTGCATTCTTACTAATGGTGACAATTTTGCTTTAATAGGTGGGTAAAATGTACATAAACATCTAAAAAACACTAATAGCATTGCCCCCGTCTCAATATTCTCTGTCCCCGGACCGCGCACCAGTGACTAGAATACGTGCCTATGAGCCTAACATAAACAAGTATGCTCACTTCCTACAGGTTATGCACCAGAGAAGGCTCAGAATGTGTACGGACACTATATCCAGTAGTAACCATGAGTCCGGTGCTAGATGCTGAAGGCAGAGAGGCAATGCTGATCCCCGTGAAGGTTCCGGACCACAGTCGTCAAGAGCCTCAAACACTTGTTTGCAAAATTAGTAAAGAAAGAAAAAAGAACAGCTTGAAAGCTTAAATTTGCTGGGAATTTGAGCATATTGTCAGTGCATTGGTGCTAATTCAATGCACAATCATCACTGCAAGCTCCCAAGATCTGTGGCACTTGCTGTCACAGAGTACCCTGCTCAGACAAGTTTACCTCTACAATAGTAACAAAAAATAACTACTGCATTTTTTTTTTTTTTTTGCTTAGGAGTTTTAAACTGGCACTTGCCAGATTTTCTGAACATGTCCAGAACCAAGCCCCTTAAATGTTTCATGCACTGTCAGGGTGCACAAGCGTAAACAAGAAAAGCGAGTGCTCCGATAGCAGAAGTGAAAGCTGTCGACCTTGCATCACATGGTGTCAAAAGGTGAGCAGCCCACTAGCTTGTTCAGAACAACCTTTCCTGCACTGTCAAGCACTTGGAGAAGCGTCCATGGGCATGGCCACCGAGAATAAACATATCATTGACAAGCCTCCCTTCTCTACGCCGTTTTGCATCTAGCATACTTTATGTCACTTTCACCGACGCGCTCGGTGGAGACCACGGCTCTTTGCTCCAGGCTGGTTTCCCAATCGGGAGGGACTCCCTTGCGTCAGAGTGGAAAAAGAATGGCACCCAAAAAGGTGGCAAACACTTTCTGTGGCTTGCATCCCTTCTTGTCAACAAACCAGCAATTAAGTACTGTCCTTCCAAAATAAGCGAGGGACTGTGGGGACCCCCCACAGCATTTTCCCCCCGTGATCTTTGTCTGGCAACTCCCAGACAAAGGCCAGTACTAAAAACAATTTCGGCAGCCCAACAAGAGGTTGACACCTTTATGGGCCGTTCTTCTTCCGCCTCCTGGCAGCTGAAAGTGAGTCCAGCACAAAGGTTTCTCGTGGCCTGTGCAAAGGCAGCCAGATCCCGAAGCCTGAATGGACTTGCACAAGCAGTGGGGAAAGGGGGGTGGCTTTAATCCGACAGGAAGGAGGGGGAGGTGGCTCCCCTTTTGCTCGTGCCACATTCCATTTCTCTCACATGCTGGCACTTCACAAGACACGCCACTGCGGCCTCTGCAGAGCTAGATTCGAGGCTTCCTTCCCCCAGAAGTGCTGAGCCATTCTTCGGAGATGAAGAAGGTGGGCTAATGGCGACGCAAGTAACCAAAAGCGTCGCAGCGGTCGGCTTTTCGTGACTGGCGAAACGCTCACTACGAAGTCTTAAAAGAGATTATAGCTCTGCTTCCCTCGACCGAAATAATAACAATGTCAGACCGTTGGTGTCGACAGTGTTGGTTTAAAAATGCGAGGACTCCGAGCTTCCACCAGGCCTTCGGCATACACCTGGAACTCGTCGTCTACAACCGATGGTAAGTAGCCAGGATCGCAACTTGCGACGTCACAGCCAGGCGAATTCTGATAGTGACGTATCAGGGGGGAACAATACGAGGGCACCAACGAAACTTTTCGGTGCTAATAGCCCCCAGCTACCCACTCCGTCCATAGACCCCCCCCCCCCTAGGTACAGGGTGGACTTTACCCTCCTGACCTCCCCGGGATTCGTGCCTATGATGCTATGATGACAGCCATCTCATCCCGTCGGTCCAAACCTTAGTTCATTGTAAGGATGTAAGGATGGTAGAATGCAAACCCACCTTTGCAGCGTTAAGAACTGCCAGGATCATGGCCCTGTGGGATCCCGCCAGGAGGCCGTACCGTGAGAGCAGGCAGATGCTACCACATGCCACCTCTAGGCACGGTGTGGACAGGGGGACTGCATCAACGGGCGGAGAGAGAGACACCGGTGTAATACCAACATCTGCAACCACGAGGGTGCAGCTGCAATTGTTGTGATGACGGATGAAGAGCGGCGTGTCGGCATCTCGAGCTCTCAGGCAGCACTTCCAGCTAATTAAACTCTTTGTCTATAATGCACCTGCCCAACCAACCTGTAAATAGCTTCTCTCGTAATTGCATGTAAGTAGAGTTCCAAATGAATCTGATAATAATAAAAGAAAAAGAACACTTGCCAGTAAAAAAATTGTGAATTCAGATTTATCCGGAAAACTCTGAAGTTGGGAAATGCATGCTGCAAACACTAGCCCGGTTTTTATATTTTCTTGGAATTCTGAGATAACATTTGCGATTTTCTTTTTAGATTCTGCTTCTGTTGACAAGTGTTGCAAAAAATGCATTTTGATACCCTTTTAGAAAAAAAAAGTAACCTCCCTATGGTACAGGACAGTGCACTGCTGCTCAGGCCACTTGGCTGTTTGCAGGCACGCAAATAAACCCCATCTATCTAACATGTCTGGCCTTTCCAGCCGCTCAGCTTAAGGCCTTTCTCTAAGATACTTTCCTAGACGTTCGTACGCTTACTTCTGACAAATTAATTTATTGTGTAAGGCTCGGCTCTCTTGGTGTTGTCCATGAAAAGCATGCATTAATATATTTTCTGATTGCTGTTCTCTACCTAGACCAAATCAAATTGGACGTTTAGTGTTTATACAGTGTAAGGTTGGTCTGCCAGGATGAGGCGACACTGGTTTACACTGTAGATGAGCAATTTTGCCAGTGCAGTACGACTGCTAACCTGGGGTCTTTAACGTGCTCACGCAGTAGTGATACACGACCGCACGCCGGTACGATGCTCATCCAGATCGAAACGGGCAGGGGTGGGGCTCGAACCCAGGATCCCTGGGTTCTGCAGCGCGAGCTTTCGCTCCACGCGCGTCGAGCTGGGTGTGCGCTTCAGCCCACTCGGCCACCGATCCCCCACCTCTACCTAGACCAATAGCACTAAATATACGAAAAACTTTGAACTCAAGCTCAGAATCGGAGGCACAAAAAAAACTCAGAAAAGACGCCTCCCATTTACCCCAAATACCCACAGCCACAGTGAACAAAGAAGTTACAGCGATAGCTCAGTGAGCGCAGGTGCTCCCTCTCTGCTTCGAAACAAGTCTCTTTTTGGAACGTGAACTTCCCACATGTTTCCAATGAAATTCAGAAGAGAACTGACATGACGCAACGTGGCTCCTCATTCATAAACGTCAAGAGGCAGGCGCTGGCCACACGGCACTGCCGATGATGGTCGATGATTATTCGCAGCTCTTTCCCTTGAATCGGCCTCTGAGAGATTATCTTACCCTCTTCGCTGCACCAGCGACAAGTAATTTTCTGACATTCTATCGATAGTTTCGACCAGTCCCCTCCATGCTCCGTTGGCCAAGATATCGAAACCGTGCCCGCCATCTCTTGGCCGAGGGGTGAACTAGAGTTCTCTGCCCAGCCCAACGCCGACGCCGCAAACACAGCTCGCAAGTTTCCACAACAGCTATCGCCGTAAAATAACTTCTAAAAATGCAAAACCTCTTTAAATATAGGTATAAAAATGAGGCTGTCCTCCAGCTTTGACCCGAAACACAAGCTCGACGACCAAACTGCGCGCCATCGACTCACTTTGAAGCAGCTGCACCAGTTGAGTCAGTACGTCGCCGAGAGCGCCCTGGCAGCGCACAAGGTACGCGGCGACCACGTTCACGATCAGGTCGGCAGCCGCAGCCGTAGCCGGAGTCGACAGAAGCGACGCTGCCACGCAGAGCAGGCTCGAGGCGAGTGCCACGCAGAGGACGACGGAAGGAGGCGTCAACATCTTCCGGCGCCCAGCCAAGTGCAGCAAGGAGAGCGCGGCACCGCACGACAGTTGCGGGTATGTTTCCTGCCAAATTGGTCTCCGCGTCAGGGGACGAGGCTTTCTGGCTTCTCAGTAAAGACATCCCATTAACTTCAATTGTGTCACTGAACAGTCAAAATTTTATGATTTCAAAACTGCTTCTATTTTGTGCTTCGATTTCGGGACGACACGCGAAAATAGAAGCACCTTTCGGAGTTGCTCCTCTCAAAATGAGTTCCCCGACAAATATATTGTACTAATTTATTAATTTCATTGATTCGGAGAAAATTGTTTTGTAACGCACGTCTAATATTTTTTGGGGGTACAATGAGATTTTGAAATGTGCTTCTCAATTCGACGTGCCGAAATATCAGAATCACTCCTAACTCAAAATGTTTCTTGCGGCATAAACATCTGCTAAAAACATTTTCTCTTTGGGGGAAGTTTATTTATTGGTACCTGTCCTATCCAAGAACCAAAACAGTTTCTTGAAAGAAGAATTGTAATTCAACACTGCACAAACAGAAGTCAAGTAGCATGCAAGTCCATAAAAAGTCCTCGAATAACCTGTGACATCAGATATCGTTGAAACTAGAAATAATCTATGGAAAATATTTATGTTTCATTCGCAACATGTTAAGGAGGAAACATCACCCTGCCAATTTCGGATAATTTTGGATTCTTAAGTCATAGAGAAAAGTGCTGAGCAGCTTGTTGGATGCAGTTATATTTTATGATACTCCTACAGAAAGCCAAGGATCAAACCAAGCTCCGACTGTTTAACGGAGGGGACAGAGGGGAATCTCACCAGGAATCGCTCCATAAATGGGTGCAGAATCTGGCTGAGATCCCAGTCCCCTGGAAATGCCTCCAAGGCTGTGACCACCCTCTGCATATAAGAAGAAAAACATTGTTACCTCACTCCGACAAATTAAACCTGTCTCGATCATTCTGATAAACCCGACTAGCACAGAATGTGTAGCACCTGCGTTATGCTTGTGTTCCGATTCACTACGCTTGGTTATAGAGAGCTCTGAATGATTTCGGACATGCTGCACACACACGTTTTCATGAGAAGTTTTCCACAGGTTCCGCATCTTTCGTGGGAGTGTGTAGGGTATTGAATTTATTCGTGCTCTTGGATTGCAAGGAACCCCTGGTGGCAACTTAAGCCACTTGCTCACGAGTATTGACAGTGAACTAAGCATACGTCTGGCTGAATATGACTCGCAGCCGGCGGTCACCTGCTAAGGAAGTATGCTGGACTAAGTGTGACCCACCACCAATGGTCGCTTGCGTAATAAGTAAAGCTGGACTAAGTACCACTCATTGCGGACAGTCGAATGCTATCGCGGGCGAACGTCGACACCAAGTCATACTTAGTCCAGCTGCTCGCGCTCTCTCGCCTCCTTCTTTTGGCATTGAGCAAAGACGTCGGACTGAGGATCGCATGGTCTGGGGTTCGATTCCCATTGAGTCCCTCAATAAATCTCACTGGTTGCGAATAATTGTTTCTCGTTATGATTTTGCATGAATTATTACGAGCAAGGATGCCCTTTACTGTCGAGACCGGCTATAACGAAATAGCGGCTACAGCGAAGTGATCACAATCTCCCATTTTCTTTTGCACTTCGTCAACCGAAGTCAGTTATAACAAAATAGCGGATATAGCGAAGTGATTTCCGATTCCCGTTGACTTCGTTATGACCGGTCTCGAGAGTATATTGTTTGGGTGCTTGATCTATGGCTGCTATGGGCTACGCATGTTTCACGTTGCCTTGGCTCGCGTGTAACGCGTTTTCGTCACACATCAGCATGAAACTTTTCGCACGAAATCCAGCCTGCGAAAATATGCTGCACTGAAACAAAAACAAACTCCGTCTCACTTTAAGAGCGAGCTCTGGGATTTCACCGTCTCTGCCAAAAGCGGCCGCTTGTGCAGTGTAAGCATTGTTCAAAACAAGATTCTTGTAGGTTCGGCTTCACACACAGTTAAAGGGAAACAAACTATAGCCGGCAAAGCAAGGCAACTTGCTGGATATAGCAAAAAATGAATTGACAATTCCTACACTTCAACAAAAAGAATTAATTTTCAAAATTTTCCAGACGTTTGGGAGGAACAGTTGCATCTCAGTGGCAACCTGCTGAAGAAACGGCACAGGTGCAAGTAACTGAAACCTGAAATTCACCGAGATGCAAAAACTGCTCACCTCAGCGACTTGAGTGTGGTCTGCGAGTTCATCGCAGTCCACGGGAACAACCGGAATGTGGCAGAGTTCGGGCAGGAGCTCTTTCAACACCAGCAGAGAGGAGTCGTCGGCCCAGATGTTCTTCACAAATGCACCTCTCTTCTTTGACATGCCTGGAGACAGACACACACAAAAACAAACAGAACAAAAAATGTTACCGTAAAATCCCGAGAGACGCCCTACCCCCCGAAAGACAGCCCACTCGTAGTAATAGTAGCGTTGGGATCAATGATGGCCTCAGCATAAATGCGGCTAGTTAGCTATGGTGGGATATAAGTGAACGTTGCTGACTGGGAAGTACAGTCAAAGGACTGTACCTCGTTGCCCCTCGCTTCCATAACAAGCTTGGAAAGGCGACGACATACAAATAGCAATATTTTTTCAACGTTTCTTGATTGTATACCGAAAGTTAGCCCACTCCATATTTCCACCGGATTTGCTCTTGATGTTAAGTGGGCTATCTCTCGGGATTTTACGATATATATATCATCTTATAGGTATGGGCCATGTAAAGAGGGAATCGCGACACATAGATGCATCACTAAGCCAAATGGATCACTCTGAAAGTTCCGAGCGACAACACACATACTTTCTTTTTGTGTGTTGTGCAGCCAGCAAAAGCTGGATATTTGACATCATTGTCGTTACCCAAGAAGAGCAAAGTCTCGTTCGATAGTTCCGACTTGCAAGTTTTCTTAAGTTTCCAGACCCATGTGCTTCCGAATTCATGCCAGTCTGCACATACCCGACCAGATATTGGGAGACTTGGAGATTGAATCCTGGCTCCGTCAAAGATTTTGTCTTTTGGCAGCTTCACAGTCTTCGTTCTATTCAATGGATCATTCATCTGCATATTTTAGAGAACTTCCTCTCCGAAAAAGGCGTAAGGTTATGAAAAGTGCCCTGTCGCAATTGTTGCAACTCTTGGGATCTAACCCCCGACCCTTTGGTTGCGAGCCAGGCATGCTACTGGATAGGCCACGCAAGCACGCTTGCACGGCTGGGAACAGGCGGGGGGTTCATCTTTAGCTGTCGTGTTTCACCCTTAACTCTTTACTGACCATGGAAAAAGCAGCAATTTTCAAAGGCAAATGCTTTTATTTTCCTAACTGACTTGCGTATGGAGCAAAATGACACATCAAAATGTGGCCAATCAGTTGTTCTTCTAAAACAAACAGAGGTTAGTATAATGTGGGAAAAAAATTTTAAAATCTTATTTCTTGAAAATGCAATATATGAGTGGAAAGCGCATAAATGCCGAAACTTCTACAGCTATGTCAAATTAAACAACAAATAAAAAAAATTCCGCATATCATAAATGTGCTCCACACCAACGGCTATTGCTTCTGAAAGTTTGTGTACTTCAACTAACATTGTCTTATTTTTGGTTCGTTGGAGAGTTAGCCTGCATAACACGCATGCTTTTCAACAAAGGAATGCTTATATTGGTGCAACGCAGATGGTCGACCTCACATCCCCAGCGGAATGCTTTGTGTTCTACCTTAGTTTTGTCATAGCCTTGATTGCAGTTCCCTCGCTATAAAAATGTTGTGCGCCTTGTTCGGAACATAAAACGTGCACGCCCGCTCAGGACAGCCTTGCAAATTATAGTGATGCTCACCGGCAACCATACGTTAAACGACGCCTACAACATAACTTAAAGGGATACTTCAACGAAATTTGAAACATACCAGTCATGTTCAAAAATAGGTTGAATATGATCCACAATATCCGTAAATGACAATTGCACATCTGTATTTTGAGCCTGGTGGCTGTATTTTTCATTATAAACGTCCCACTCTGGCAAGCGCTCGGAGAACAGCCAGCGAAGAGCACGTGACATCCAACGCAATCGTGACATAGTTTGTCTCGGGACGAGCAAAGCTATGGCGAGGCTGACGTCGAGAGGATGGCCTGGTCGTTCCAGCCACCGAAGCGGCTGCTTTTGTTTGAATTTTGAGTGACGGGTTAATCTTCTATAATCTTGTAGGGGGACAATAGCGACTTCTGGGACACACAAAGGAGATTCTTGGGAAGAGGGGAGCTCTTCCTTCCCCTCTCCTTTCGTCGTGGCCGGAGGCGAGACAATCTCCGTCACTAGCTGTCAAGGTTCCTAGACGAGCATTACAAACGAGGCGTTAGTGACATGCACCAGGTGCTCTCTGGTAATCGCTTAATTCGTTCTAAAATTCCTTTTTGTGACTTTTTTAAAAAGATAGTGGTGTGTCCAATGTGATACTGCTCCTCTGAACACATATCAGTGATGTGCTTGGCCCAAGCCATTTTGGAGCACCTTTTGGAGCAGCCAAAACAGTGTTTTGGAGCAACAAATGTGGCCTTTGGAGCAGCCAAGACAGTGTTTTGGAGCAGCAAAAGTGGCTTTTGGAGCAGCCAAAACAGTGTTTCGGAGCAGAAAAAGTGACTTTTGGAGCATATATGCTTAAAAAAATAAATACTTGTTTTAAGTGCTGGACAAACGAAGGGCACTTTGTGTTGTGATGTGACGTGTTGGGGTGGAATTCGCTGCTTGTGTTTTTACAATTCCGAAAAAAACCACAAAAAACACTTGCTATCGTTTTACTGGTTCCCGATGTGGCAGATTTTTATAAAAAGTAAGCAAATGTAAAGCAATAGATTGCAAGCACCCCAGCTGGTGCCTCTCGTGCAATCATGTTTACATGCACGTGAGGGCAACTTCGGCAGGCTTGCAGTTACACGTGCTGCGTCGCGCGAGCGGAGACAATGGCTGTTCGACCGAAACCGAAATCATGCCACTCTGCTCCGTCACCAACTGGTTCCCAAAATGGTACGCAAAATGTAACTGTCCAGCATACGACAATAAACAGTCCAGCGGCGCGTGCTTCCCAGGCTGGCAGGTGAGGTACAAGCTAAACACGCAGAAAAAAAGAACCTGAGCATATCGATGCAAGACATTGCGAATCACGGTCAAAAAGTTCTTGGAGCACTTTGTGCAACGACTGAACTCGAGACAAACAAGTGCACTGTGCGGGTTCAGTGTGCAGACATTGCTTTCCTCGCTTTAGTTCACTTCCCATCATCAACTTTCTTTCGCGGCAGATTTTTCACGTACCGGGGTCTCTCTCGGAAGAAAGCCCACCGAGAGAAACCTAGGTAATCAATACTTCCGACACAGCAGTCATGGAGTTTTTATAGCAGCGCATGATTTAAACAAGAGCAGGAATGTCGATGCGTTTCGGTTTAGAAAGTGCCATATCTGCAGCGACGTGGGGACGGCAACACACGTCGTCGCACGACCATGGCGACTGTGGTCGCGAGAGCGTTTCAGCTCACAAAGTAACTCTCGCCGCGCAAAAACGTGGTTTTGTTTCACAGCATGATGGCATGTCTGGAACCCGGCACACTAACGTCAAAGCGTCCGCCCACGCCCGCGTCTATCGCTAAAAAAGAAAAAGAAAAGAAGACGCGAGACGAGATTCCCGAGACGACGAGAGCGCGAAACGCGAGACGGCGGGAAATATCATGCAAGACCGCATAGACGATTGATGCAGGGTACTTTGTGTTGGGCGGCGTCTTGTACCACCTAGCCAACGCATGCTCAACTACGGTTCTCAGTTTCGTTTCGTTTTTGAAAGGCAACCAAAATTAGTCCATTGGCGCAGGCTTGGCGCAGATTAGGCATATTTTGGCGAAATGTAGTAGGATGTAGCAGAGTTAGCCCCTTGGCAGTTTGGCGCAATTGGCGCAGCAATCACATATAGATATAGACCAAAAAATGAGTGCCGAAATTTCGTTGTAGTATCCCTTCAAAGTGTCCCCAGAGCTCTTGAGGTCTAAAAAATATGCCACAATACAGTTGAATTACGCAAATAAAGCCATCTTTGTTACGAAGACTGATGCGCAGTTAGCCACGTTAAACAAGTGCAACCACCGTTCCCAGGACTATTTTTGACGGCCCACCATTTTGTGATAAAGCTTACACCTACCTTGAAACCAAAACTAGCGTTCTTCGGCTATCCAAGAGATTGTGGAATGTAATTCTCCGCACTACATTTAATTTCTTGACGGCGCTGGGAAACCACCCATCAACGGTGATCAATGGCTTATGGGTGCGATCAGGAAAGAGTTAAGCGCAAAGCTTAAAGGGAAGCTGAAACACTTCTTTCAGAAAACTAGATAGAGCGTAGTTTTATCCTGCGAATCTTAATATCACGTTTGTTTTCCCCAAAGATGCAACTAAACGCGAGACAACACAAAAAACCTCTGACCAGTCGTCACGTCATAAGAGGATCTTTCGGCCGCCAAGTGCGTGTCGCTTGAGGGCCGCATGTGCAATTGCAAGCTTGCCTGGTATTTATATTCCCCCGCACTGGCACCAGTCGTGACGTCTTTTTCTGCCCTTTTTAAAAATAGCGAGAGTGCACGTGCATAGCTTTGATAGGCGCTGAAGATGTGCGAGATCGGAGATTCTGAAAACTGCTCTTGTGATGTCACGCTCCGGGAAGGAGGGCCTTCAGCGGTTTGTTTGGAAATGATTTTTTGCAGCCTTTATGCACCATTTGGTTGGTGTATATTTTATTTATTATTATTTTGCTCCCCAACCAGAGAGACTTCTCTCAAATGTTCACCTTAAAGAATAATTTCGATATTTGAGATCCTGGAGGTCAAATGATGATTTAAGTGTGTTTCCTCAAATACAAAACCGCTTCAGCTTCCCTTTAAGTGTCGTCCTGTGATTTTGGCCTTTTTGATAGCAGAGCTCCTTCCACAGACATCATCGCTTAGTGTATGGCGTGCCTCGAGGGAAAGTATATGCGCGTCCACTCCCCGTCAGAGAAACAGATGTTCAGAGTGGACCCTTCTCTGTGGTGTATGCTACTGTTCTCTCTTTACATATTTGACAGATCGTATTAGCTTTACTACTACACTCCAGCCAATTCGCTAATTCGATTCTCCTTCGTTCGTGTGCAGATTAACAGGATATGCCCCTGCCGCATTTGAGAAAATTTGCTTTTTCTTTTATATTTATACTTCTTACATTTGAACACAACCAAATGTGGCTATATAACAATAAAATGTACAATTTAAATTCTCTTGCACATAACTAACTTTCAAACCTTTCCCTGCAAATTTTTTTCTTATTTCTTTTTTGTTTTGTTTAGGTTACCACTCACCGGTAAGGAGGCTCAGTAAGAAGCTTGCATAGGCAGCCATGAAGGTGCCATTGCTCTTCTCCTCTGGAAGCCTGCACAAACAAAGACACGAAGCGTTAGCAAAAATTTCAGTACCACTGTGCCGAAAAAATCTACAATTTTAATGTGGCCTTCTGAACCGCAACTATGGATACCTAGCTAATCACAAAATCATGGCTAGCTTTTCTAATCTAAAGAAACCACAATTTACTCTCGTGCTGAATGACCAATAATGAATTGGCTCTATTTCCAGATGTCGTTCCAGTACATATAGCTAAATAATCCAATGGGCTAGTCGGTCGAACATTGTAAAACACAAACGGTACAGGGACAACGAAGAGTAAAGGAACGAGACAGGACACGCGGTCTGGCAAATGCTGCCAACAACATGAGAGATATCTCGAATGCGACAATTCAGACATTTTGCCTGCACTACAGAAACAACTTGTGAACCAACACATACAATGTCGTACGCAATGGGAGCTTAGTCGAGCCAGCCAGATATAATTGATTCATCGAGAATACAACATTAATTAGAGAACAGTGCGATTGTCACTGGCACACGAGCGTCTAGCCAGCCAGACGAAGCGGGGCCAGTTCGGATCGACAACCCTACCTGGCCAGCAACAGGTCTAGCAGGTAGCAGACGGTGCCGTGTGGCAGGGGTGACGAGATGGCCGCAAACAGAGCCTCGAAGTGGGCAAACTCCAGGTTGGGCACCCTGTACACCAGCTCCACCACGGTCCTCTGCTGATCTTCCCCGGGCAACTGGTCGAGCAACTCTGGAAGTTGGTGGTGCGGTGACGAAATGGCCATGCAGTCAACTTGTGCCGTTCACTAATCGTAGAAGCTGTCTCAATGAGTAATAATATCGTCACCAATAAAAAGAACAGATGCGTGTAAAACTGAAAATAAGCATTTAATAATGGCAACTTGTGCCACAAACTAGAACAAAGAATGTATTCTGTGACGGCGATGAAAATGCAACCGAATTGAAGCGGTGCGCTATCGCTTATTTTATGTGAAAGCTGCGTTCAGGAATGTTCTAAATCAGAACACAAAATAAAGAACAAATAATGAACTGAACCATCCTAGAAAAAAAAAAAGAAAGAACTGGGCTGCGAGGGTTAAAACCTCATACCTTCGCGCAGCAGCGGAGAGCAAAATAAACTCTGCTATGCACACGGTGTTCTCGCGAAGCATCGTTCAGGTATGCCTGTAATGCTGCTAACATACAGGTACTTAAGGTGCTGATGCAGCGAAGATTTTGTTGGGTAAATTAATAATGCTAAACAGCTTCCAGTACTAGCTGAATTTGATTTCGCTGCCCTCTCCCCGCCAGGGCAGGAAATCCAGCAGTGTTTTTCATCATAAGCAATTGCAGCTTAGGATGAGGCACAAGTTGTAAACACACCGACTCAATGCAGAAGGTGTAGCTTATTGAAGCGCCCTAGGCCTATCTGCTAGAGCTTGGATCAAACTGCAGGCTCATTAAAATTGTGTCGCACGTTTAGACCACGGGTTCCCAAACTGGGTTCGTAGTGACCTGGAGGTTGCCCAAGGGCATCCTCGCAAGTTCCCCAAGGTCTTAAAGTTCCTCGATTGTCCTTGCCCCTAAGTATACCCCCAGTTTCAAGGGGTTAGGACATGACAAAAATAAAATATGAGATAACTATACTGCTAGGAGCCATTGTATGTTCGTAAATTTCTGCTAAATTTGTTCTGAAAATGAAGCATTAATTTTGTGGATAAATCGATTTATACTACAGGGTGAAACAAGGAGACGCCAGGCTCTTTAAATCGACCGGAAAATTTGGTTTCGTAATCTATCACGCTACGAGTTTGTGCAGTGTTGCCCACAGATGGTGCATTTTTTTTTGTAAAATTTGCAAAGAGCGAGCTTACCTGAGGAAAAAGTAAAGAAAGAAAAAGGCTTAGCTCCTATGGAAACGCAGCGACGCCACCAGTCTGCAAACAACACGGCGCCGTTTCGCCGCCAACGAACGAGCATACGGCGCCAAGAGCAGGCCTTTTTAGCAGACAATCTTTTCGGCTCAAAAGCGGCACGCATTCCGCAGGCGGCGACAGTCGCAGAAACAAAAAAGACAGTCGCAGTAACAGCAAGGAACTGCAGTTCCTTGTCTGCAAAAGGGCCGGCTCTCGGCGTCGTCTGCTCGTTCGTTGGCGGCAGTCGGCGTCGTGACCGCTTGCGCCATCTCTTGTCTCCCGTGCGAAACGGTGCCGTGTTGTTTGTAGACCGGTGGCGTCGCTGCGTTTCCATAGGAGCTAAGCCTTTTTCTTTCTTTACTTTTTCCTCGGGTAAGTTCGCTCTTCGCAAATTTTACAAAAAAAAAAGCACCATCTGTGGGCAACGCTGCACAAAGTCGTAGTGCGATAGGTTAAGAAACCGAATTTTCCCGTCGATTTAAAGAGCCTGGCGTCTCCTTGTTTCACCCTGTATATGTGGGACCCTTGGATCCACGCCATTCTAAAATGCCACCGTGTTTGTTAAGTTGGTGACGTCATTCAAACACGCGGCGTACCCTTCCACGCACTCGCAGACTTGGATCTCTCGGTGTTTCGCGCATCAGGTTGCATGCCTACCTTCCGCGTTTCGAGCACGCAGTTTCCAGACGATGACGTCTACGGTATAGCTTGCTTCGTCGGTGTCTTTGACGCTGATCGCAGCAGCGACGACAGTAATTGTTATCGAAAGGTGTTGAAGGTTGGTCATTTTGACTTGGACTCGCTAGCAACCCGCGATGACGACAGCGCCACAGACGAGCTCGCCGTCGTCCGCCACAATCTCGCACGTGCATGCAGGGTGGAAGGTCAAAGGGTAAGGAGACGAGAGTAGGAGTATAGGCCGGAGTAGCCAAGCGGCGCGAGAGTGTGTGATCGTGACATGATGAGGCAAGTTTGGGCGAGCATGGGGCACCTAGAATGAGAGCTTTTAACTAAATATGACGACCACACGGTTTATGGGCACCATGATGTGAGTGACCTGTGCAGTGTTGCCAGACGAAAATGATTGACATTCCTAAATTGAGCATTGCAATTACAAGAGCTCTAAAAATCACGAAACTTGGTGCTAGTAACCTATGAGCATTCCATTTCAAGAATAATCTACCCGTTCAATTTTTGTGTCCTAAAGCCGACGTACAACCTCGGTTTTCTGTAGGGAAGATAATCCTCTTTGCGCTCCCCTCTCCTAAGCAGCGGGGGAAACAAAGTTGGGGAAAGGAAAAAAAGTGGAGAGGATATAGGAAAGGAGGAGGCGGACAAGAGCGGAAAGCGCAAAGTGTACGTCAACCTTTAAGCACTAGTTCAGAAGATCCGAGCCATCCACTGAGCCATAACCATGTGCAGACGCAACAATGCTCATGGACGCAGGCAAGACCCACGTAATTAAAAAATATGCGGCGCAGCCACTTCTGAAAATGTGGTAATGCCAGATGGAAGTATCAATTTGCTCCATCTTGCTTTCTGCAAAAAGCTAACCTGGCGATAGCCCTCTGTAGCCTAACACACCCAGAGCAACCCCGAGGCGTTGTTGCCGCCCCAACCCGAGCTCATACTGGCTCCCCCGCTCGTCGCTCACAAACGAGCGTGCTTGCAATGCATCAAATGCAGCGGCTTCCGCCAAACGAAGTGCCACTCACGGATGACCTGGAGGCTGCAGGCCTGCAGTCCCTCCAGGAACTCTGGCAGGCGGAGCTGCGCCACCTTGCCCACAAAGGACAGCACGCCGGGGTCGCAGTGGTGGGCCGGGCCAACCGCCTGCCTGGGAAGGCTACGCAGGAACTCGGCCAGCACGGGAATCCTGGGCAGACCCGGGAGGCACACCCAAGCTTAGCTGGAACCGCAAACAAACAAATGCCACAACAACAAAAAAAAGTAGTGATGCGAGCATATTGTAAATGAGTTACATTTGCATCGCACCGCCACATCTTGCCGGGCCGTGCGTGCACTGCACCGCCACAGAGCGGGCTTCCCTGGTGGCGGCTTTTGGAACCATGCCGCACGAGAGCCAATGGGAGCCTCGTTCCTTGATGACGTGCGCCAGCCAACGGGAGCATAATCCATCAAAAATCGGCCGCACTTCGCGCCTTTTAAAGGAGGTCAATTTATCTGCCGTTTTGCGTGGCTTTTTGCGCGGCTTCAAAGCTGGGACCCCTCAGATCGTGGCTTCACTTTGCTCCTTTGGGACAGGGGAATTTAGGTGCCGTTTGGCGCGGCTGATGACGTCGGCTCACTCCATAGAACAATTAATGCTTTCGCATAAAGAAAAAAAAATTGTTACAGTTGCTCCTTTTGGATGACTGCCACCATTCCATTCTTTGTTTAGTTCACCACGCTGACCCTTGTTCCCATTAAATGCTGTTTCTATTTGACAGAGGGTGATCGTCTGCCCTTGGCTCCCTCCGTGTTTTTTTTATTCTTTCAAACTGAAGTAACCCCTAAAATAAAACAGGTGACCTATAATTACGGGGCAACCAAAAGGAAGTTTTCAATCCTTACTCAATCGATCAACTACAGTAGAGCTTCTTTATAATAAAGATATAAGGATATGGTGAAGCAAACTTAAAGCATGCTCTAACACTGTTGGCACTGATGTAATGAAATGTTTTAAAATTTAAAAACCGACTTTACTGCACAGAGGTCCTACTAGATACTAGCTCTATGCTTGCATATGTCATTCCTGCATGAATCCTAAAATGTTGAGCAAGCGCCTGTGTAACATTAAGCGCCCACCCGCCACTTTCATAACATTTGAAAATGAAATGCATCTTAGTCCTGCAGATAGTCAGGACATGCAGTGCGCAGCAGGATGCATATTTCTATCTCCTTATAATAAGTGAAGTATCATAATTGATTAGTAAGAATTAGCGGGACCTACTAAATTGAGCGAGACGTAAATCCGTTAAAGTTAGCGGCCGTGTCACAATTTTTTGTGACTCTTTAATTACACTTTGTGTTTAAAGTAAGCAAAAAACATATCAAGTGCATTCAAATGGCAATTCGGGCTAGTTGGTTTGTATCCCGCTTCAAAGTGCCAAAACCACACAAGAACAATAAGAAAGGGTATGACAACAGGGCGCCCTGCTGTTGTCTTCTTTCTTACTGTTCTTGTACGGTTTGGCGCTTTAAAAAATGACATATCAAGTGGCCGTCCCAGACTTCTGAGCCCATCTAGATAGCTAAAATGCTTTTCCGTGTTTACTGCTTTTCCAAAAATGCCAGCGTAAAGCGAAGAAGCTTCAAATGTGGCCATCGGTGCAAAGCAGTGAAAACAGACGTGCTCGCGCCGGTGTAAAACGGTGAAGCCCAGGCTATCACGTGCCCCTCCTGCATTTCTGCTCTTGGACCTAACAAGCACCCCAGTGGTTCAAGAATATCTCAAAAATTTTGGGCGTGCGCTTGCTCGGTATTTGATTATGGTAAATATGTGATTCTACTTCCACGTGTGTAAACAAATAATATTAAAAGACTCACTCTGATAAATCGAATTCGTTCTCCAGAATTCCCGTGCCGGAGCACATTCCAGAGGAGATGCACGCGTCAACAATTTGATCGCTCGAGTGAATCACGCGCTTCGTCCCACAGATCCGACACTCCATTTCACGTTGCGGTGCACCGCAGAGGATGCTACGAGCCGTCAAAGCCAATCAATGCCTCATGGGTATCGTGTGACATTCGAAAGGGGTACGGCAGTGCGCAAGGCGAATTGCCATGTGCTACACTTAGAGTGCCGGATTGGCTGGGATTGCTGGTAGTGTCCAGTGCAGTTTGTCGCACGGTGAAGCGGAGTGTAGCAAATTGTAATACCAGGGTCTCAAAGACTACCAAAACGCTCACACGGCTTCTTGGATTGAGTGCCACTTCAGCAGTAGTCTGTGAAAGAAGGCCAGGACCAGTTGGAAGTCCTTGGGTTGCAGGATGTCACTGTCCTCGTACAGGGAGAACATGGCTTCCGCCAGTTGCCGACAGTCTGCGGCAAGGAGACAACAAATGGGGTATTCGCACGTTTTCCTTCTCTCCCACTTCAGTGGTGCCTCAGTAATATGGAGTGTTACTATGGACACCTTGATGCACTCGACGAAATTTTCAAGGACGAACTGGGTAAATTCATGCATTTCTGTATCATTACGATGGACGATTCACATTATGGACTCCTTTCTGGGGAACGAAGTTGTCCACATTAACGAGACATTACTGTATTATGCCTGGCACCCTCGGTGCAGTCGGCTCTCGTCTTCAGTAATCCGTTTGTTAGGCAAAAAAATAATGTGCCGCGATTGGAAACTGTCTGGTTATTGCCCTAAAATCAAATTTCGAAATTCAGTTCACTGTTTCACCAAGTCGCACAACCCCAAACAAAAATGCACACCTGGTGACAAAGTTGGGGACGTTTAATTACACACCTGAAATCGATTGGCGGTCGACCGCTAGAAGTGAGAATGTACGACCGCCGCTTCAAATTGAATAGCGCAGCATCATTTCTAACTTGAACACTGCAAAGAGCCCATATATCGTGGCTTTCCCTCGCACCGTGAAGACTATAAATGACACAGCGCTATTTGATTCGGACCGCTACTAGCCGTCCAAACTACCCGAACACCCTTAGATAAAACCCAGGAGACTGTACCAAATGCAGCAACAAAAACCTGTCTGCTTGCAACCGCAAGAAGCCCTCGTAAGGTTTAGCGAAACGATTGGCTTCCGCTCTTTTGTGTGGAACCGCGGCGTGACAAGACCGACGAGCTCCTACGTTTCGTCGACGTCGGAGGCTAGAGTGCAATCCAACTCGCCTCTGGCGGAGAGTCGGGGCAAGAGGAGGTTGGTGATCTTCACCACCTTCCGAACGTCCGACGAGCGAACCTGCCCGCTGCCGACAAGCTCCCGGAGGAAGGACACCTCCCGGGGGGTCTGGTCCGGGGTTTGGACACCGGCGAGCCCCGCAAGAACCTCGCACACGCCGAGGTTAATCGCCGTCACCGAGACCTGCAGCACACGGCAAGGGTTCGCTCATTGCAGTGAAGTTAATGAGGCACCGATCCGATCGTGAAATGTCAACCGAAAGTTCTGTCGACGGTGGCATTCAAGTGGCAAGCAAGGTGCTGCTTGAATCCTGATTGTTTGTGTCAGACAAAAAACGGGTAGAGACCACTTCCAAGGTGCTGTCGACGTTTGTGACGCAACTGGCGTCGTCTAGAAGTAGGACGTCTTTCTGAGATCTGTAGTAGGAATTCTAATTCTCCCAATTCATTAAATTGTTTGGTTTGATTATTTTTGTACTGGCATTTGTTTCGTTTTAATTACCAATGCCAGCCCAGTACAGGACATTGTATATGGTCAGAGCAGGTCACGCACATTCCTTTGTGTTCTTGAAAAAGGTATTTTTCTACCGATACAAAAATAATGCGTTCCTTTTGCAAATGCTTTACGACTTCATTGTGTCGTCCCATCAACGTACAGATATGGCAGAACAGCTTATGCAGGTGGATGAGGTGGACTGATGCAAGACGCAACTGACAGTTCCAGAAAAATAAAAAGGGGAGCAAAATTCTCAACGAACGTCAAAACCTGTTTAAAGGGGTACTTCAACGAAATTTGAAATATTCCCGTTGTGTTCGAAAAATAGGTTGAATATGATCCACAATATCTGTAAAAGACAATCGCACGTTTGTATTTTGAGCCTGGTGGCTGTATTTTTCGTTTTAAACGGCCCACTCTGGCAAATGCTCGGAGAAGGCCCAGCGGAGGCCACGTGACATCCAACGCAATCGTGACAAAGGTCGTCTCGAGACGAGCAAAGCTACGGCGAGGCTGACGTCGAGAGGATGGCCTAGTCGTTCCAGCCACCGAAGCGGCCGCTTTTGTACGAATTTTGAGCGACGGGTTAATCTTCTATAATCTTGTAGGGGGACAATAGCGACTTCTGCGACACACAAAATGCATTCTCGGGAAGAGGGGAGTACCTACTTCCCCTCTTCTTTCGTCGTGGCCGAAGGCGAGACAACCTCCATCACTAGCTGTCAAGGTTCCTAGACGAGCATTACAAACAAGGCGTTAGCGACATCCACCAGGTGCTCCTTGCTAATCGTTTAATTCGTTTTAAAATTCCTTTTCGAGACTTTTTTTAACAAGATATTGGTATGTCCGATGTGATACGGCTTCTTTGAACACATAAAGACCAAAAAATGAGCGCCGAAATTTCGTTGTAGTATCCCTTTAATACCACGGCTACACGACCTGAATTTCCTGTCCGTTTCCATGCCCATCAGACCTTGCAAACAGCAGCCGCTTCGCCAACGCACAACCTGAAACGTCATGACCAGACACCAGGATGTGCTCACTTTAAGAGTTGAGCACAGCCAGAACCCGTAGAATGCTTGCTACCCTGGTAGAAGCACTAAATGTTCTCGAAGTACCAAAAACACCAAACTTCGTTTTAGAACAGTAATGCATGTATGTTCAGACAACAGGAAGTTAGTCAGCCCCAATGATGTGTCTCCGCTATAGACGAAGAATTTAGTCAGTGCATGTACCACAGAGTAGAAATACATGACTGCACACCAGTATGACGGTCATGCAGGTCGAAACGAGCAGGGGTGTGGATTGAACGCAGGATTTCTAGGTTCCACAGCACGAGCTTCCACTCCCCGTGCCCCGAGCTGTGATGTATCGACACACTTGGCCACTCCTCCTCGGAACAGTGCCGCAATGCTAAAATCGACAGCTACAAAACGGCAACCTCGTGCAACTGAAACAAACCATGGGGGCAATCCTGGCACAGCCGGCTCATGAGCAGGAAAACGGGCCGACATTCTCCTGGCATCAACATGGCCAACATCAGCCAAATGGAGAGCTCGATTTGGTCGCTTCTCCAACTCGAGGAGGACGCTATGGAATGCGGTACTCTGGAGGCATTCAGTGGCTCCGGCACCCACCTGTCTATTTAGGGCGGGCTCCTTCTTGCCCTTCTTTCTGTTACTCGGAAGGGCAGGAAAGCAGTCCTGGGAATAGGGGAAGCGTGGACTGAAGTGGGACAGCAACTGCTTGCCGAAGGAGTCCTCGAACCACTGCACCTGCAAGTGCCGGTACATTCAGACAAATGCTAGTGACTAATCGCTTGTTGTCATACGATGAACCATAAAAATCCAAGTCAAAACATACCTCAAACATTTGTAAAAAAAAAAAAAAAAAAAAAAAAAAAAGAAATTGAAGGTAAGCACATACAAAACTCAGCATAAATAAAAAGCATATAAACCTACACATGAAGGCAGATGTCCGTGTTCATATGTACACACATTCATACAACAGGGGTGGAAGCGGGCTAGAGCCTTTTGTATCAGGGCTGGGAGCAGCAAAAGTCCCACTTTGGAGCAGTTTTGGAGCAGTAAAACGCTCGCTTTAGAGCAGCTCGGGAGCAGCAAAAGTAAATTTTGTAGCCGTAGAAGTAGGTTTTGGAGCAGGTCACGGAGGTCAAACAGGTGACTAAAAGTGATTTGTTGTTCCTAAATGTGAAAATGAAGCAAAAATATATGCATGCACATCCCAGAATAATTTTCAAGCAACATACATACATACCTTTCTATTTCTATTGCATAGAAATATGGAATATTGGCAATTTATGCAAAGGAAAGGCTTTGAGGACCATTCCGGCAGCAGGCAGAGTCATGATAGACTTTATATGGGAGGCCCCGACAATAAAAGCACAACTTGAGCCACGCCAGTACAAACCGTCTATTTAATAGACCAATTGTAAACATATATTCAGAAAACTAAACCACTGCAAGGTGTCAAATAAACTACCTTCGCTGACTACAGTTTCTGTTTAATAAAGAATACACATGTTCAATCACTGCTTAAAAAGCCCTATATGAAGTTTAGTAACAAAATACAAGGCTACTGTCATTTGACAAAAATTCAGATGCAAAATAAAATGTGTATTTTATATCTTTAGAATACCACAGTCACTCGTACATATGCAGCTTTAAGCATCGACTAGAAGAGCAACGCAACCTTATGTACTCCATAAAATGTTGTGCATTGCGTGTCTCCATAAAAAAAAGATTAAGGTGCCACAACATGTCTCAAAATAAAGCAGCCCTTGCTGACCTGTTTTCATTAAATACAAATGTTCTTAATCCCTATTTATAAAATACAGTAATCCCTACACCCAAGTTAACATACAAAGCTATATCTATATTACTTTAGATAAAAAATATATTCTTAAAAATATCAGAGCCACTAATGCATATGCAGCATAAACACCGACCAGAAGAGCCCACAGGCTTCCATGTTAAAAAAAAAGGGTTGTGACTAAGCTGAATCTGTGTACATCAGAAACAACTGAAGTTCACCTTTTTTCACAGTCTGAAGATCAGGGTCAATTTCTTTTATGCGCTCGAGTACTTTAGGCAGTTTAGAGTTCAGATCACTTGTACGAGTAGAGTGGCTATAGCAAGTTAAGGTGCGCTCACGACAGGAATCGGCAGCGCGGGAGTGTTGTACGGCATTTCTGATGTAATCCCCACTCCTCCACGCTAAAAGAAAGAAACAAAAAGGTGTGTAGCACTGCCAATTAAGCAACTCGCTTAAAGATCGCGGGTATTGTTTTCGCCAGTCGTCAGACGGCGGGAGACAACACACGACAGCGTGCACATTCGCGCACACAATGATGGTTTTGGTTTCGTTTTGAAAAGACATATTGAGCTCGAGAACGCATGTGCCTGTGCTCGCGATTCTTCACGGCTAAGCGTCCAAATATGGTACGCTACCAAATAACAGGTAAAACCAGTAAAGACCATTTATTTTTACTCATGTTGACGCATGCACATGCGCTCGCAAAAAAAAAAAAAAGCTTAACTAACATAGTACGTGTTTCTTAACGGCTAAGCGTCAAAATATGGTACGCTACAAAATAACAGGTAAAACTAGTAAAGACCACTTACTTCTGCTCATGTTGATGGCCGAGGTAGCCCAACGGTGCCGAGGCACCAACTCCCACGATCACGGCAAATCGGGACAACGGGCAACTGCATGCGCGCTCCAACCGCGCCAACCAACTATTCGCGACTCCAGCAACCTATAGGGGGCGCCACCACCAAACAAACATGGCGGCTGAGTCCAGGTCGCGTCGGCTCGGCTGCGCCGCCTGAATGGGTGGCGCATTCAATTTAACAAATTTTCTTTTGTTGAATGCCCAATTTTATGGGTATTTGAACTGAGACAGTTAAGTGTAGCCGGTGCGCATAAACTTGCCGAGCATAGTTTTGTTTTGCCGGTGTTTTTTGTTCTTTTCATGTCAAACTTTATTTTTGGAGACTTCGTTCAAAACCGAAACTATGGGCTCCAGAGGAACGGTATTAGACTCTAATTAATTTTCATCGTCTAAGGAAAGCGACGAGGGCTACAAAATTGTTCCACCGAGAGTAATTTTTAGCTAACTCGCATGCCTCGACCATGCGACTTATCTGTCCGCGAAATTGAGCTTTTGTGCCTGTCCGCGTTTCAAGGAACAGCTCCAGTCGTGTGCTCGGTCAAGAACACAGGCTGCAGGAAAATTACGAAAATTGAGCAAGCGCTTCTTGAGCCAAGGAGCATGTCAACTCGCTGGCGCTTCACCAAGCAGCTGATACTCGTATTTCGATCAATTCAGGTTTTAGTAGCAACCGAGAAGTCATTTTGACGAATATGCGGATTATGTATTATATTACGTACTATGGTCCCATTAAAGCGATATTAGTATATTCTTCGGGTTGAAATATAAACTTAATTAACTAACTATTAGGTGAACTGCTGAATAAAAGTATATTTGACAGACAGAGAGATACTACTTAAACTTAGCCAAATGGTTCTAGCCGGTAGAACGGAGACGAATGCAGACAAACTGAGGAGAGTCTTCATCGGAGATTCACTCAAACCTCTCCGCATTGAACTTGACTTCGAATCCTGAACGGATAAAATGAGTATTTTTTTTGGCCGGTCAACCTGAGCAATGTAGACATATATTGCTGCTGGCTTCGAGAGGGGTTATAATATAAACATTGGAGGCGCGATAGACCCTAATGACGTGACAGCTTCTAACTTTGCGAGACGCGTCCCCCACCTTTTGAAAGCAGATAATTTCCCTCGTTAATCATATGCAGCGAGCAAATTTTCTGAATCAAGTAATTGCGAGATTAGCCCAACTCCTTCAATGTGGTCTTTTTCGGCGAAAAGCCGCCAAGATGAATAGCCAACGCACTGGCCGGCGTTAGTGGCTAAATTAAATTGAAGCTAATCGAGCACAACCAAACTCAAGGAAAACAGCTGTCGAAGCTTCCCATTCACTTGACTGCAACATTGGTGTTCCCTCCAGTGAAACACTTCGTCTGTCGACCTCAGTCCACTGTTCTATATCCTTATAAAGAAACCACTTATCAGTTACCAAGCAGTCGTCACTTTGAATGTGATTAGAGACAGACGAGAAATCAAAACGCTTTTCCGTGATTCCTCCTCATCCCAAAAATTGAAAGCACGCGACCGTGTGTAGTGGAGTAAACGGGCTTTCAAACGCGTGATGGAAAGAAACAATCTGCTGAGGCTTCACCACACTAATGAACACTCAGGCAAACTTAAGAAATTTTCGGACCTTCATCAAATTACATTGCTCGACCCCGCGCCGACAGCACGAGTCCGCGAAAGCCATCAGAGACGCGGCGGGGCGCGGAGCGACCTGGACCGACTGCTTCCCGGTTTTCCCGCTTGGCGGCGTCCGTTTTGCTGGAGTCGCGAATGCCCGAAACCAAACCGATGTGTTCGTATATCAAGCTCTTTGTAGTCAAAATCGACATCTCACTCTCGATTAACTAAAATCGACGCCTCGCCCTGCGGTTATATGTGGTTCGGAGCCCCAGTCGAGTTGGCACGAGTCACCCGCACTGACGCCTAAACAAAAGTGCACACCCCATGGTGGCCAGTGGCCGACCGTTTTCCGCTAAATTTAGAGAAAACACAAAAAAAACAACTGAAATTGGCGTTTTGGAGTAGGCTGGCGCAGGGAAGTGAATTGGCGCAGGGTGGCGCAATTGGCGCAGCGCTTCCACCCCTGTACAAACGTTACAGAGCCAAATAACCGGTACAATGCTAGTGGCAACAACGCTCGAAAACACGGGACAAGCTATAGTAGTTTCTCCGCGACCAACTTGACCACATTAATTTTAAAGGTTGTGGGGGTTGCAATTCCCCAATTTCCACGAGTTTCGTGGCAACCTGAGCTGCTGTTGCAGTTTCCTGCTCGCAAGTACGATGGGGCCCAAGTGAAGATTGCCTCTGGTCTGTTCGCCATTCCTAAACAAGTTCGACACCCCTTTCGGGAATAACGATTTTCTTCAATCTCCCCTTGAAAGTGTGACTCCCAGGTTTTTTTAATTTCATACGGGAGGACTTTTACGGCAAAAGACCCCCATATTTCACAGAAACTATGTTCTATCTCGTACGAATTTAACGGGCCTTTGTCAAGCACTTACGTTTGCCTTGTTCTCTCTCCTCAGCCACTCAGCCACGAGGAGAAGCACGCTCAGGATGCTGTCCATCAAGACGAGAGAGTCCCTCTCAGCGGCGTCCCCTGGGAACAGGGACAAGAAAATAATGACGGGAATTGAAACGGTGTTCAAAGGGCTTCCTTTTGGCGACGTGTGTGAGAAGACAGGACACAGTGATGCTCCAAACGTTTCGAAAACCTCGCTAAGAACGCTGCCACTCATTCCCCTTGCCTTGGCTTTTATGCATCTTCGAAATAAGGAAATGAAACCCTGCTCAACAAGCACCACACACTCTGCTTATCGTATCAAGCGTTCAAACATTTACAGAAGGAAAGAGAAGCCATGGAGCTCCTCCCTTTTTCTTTATGTGGCAAAACAAATTTCTGTAGCCACCGAATCCACCACATTTTCCCAATTTGAAATAAGCAGAATAAATTTCCTTCAATACAGTTTCTGCTAAATTAATCAAGCACCAAGAACCATGCTGCAACTGTAGTTACACATGCAGGCATTTGCTACAGCAACTTCTGTAAAGCAAAAATTTCCAATGAATGCCACTTCGTACGTGTGTTCACCAATGATTTATATCAGCAACTTGCTTCCACCCTTTTATACCAGTGGTTCTCAACCACTGATGTTTTGGAACCCTTTTTGGATCGGCGGAAGTGGCATGGGTCCTTATCCGCCGGGGTGGATTGGGCGATATTGAACAATTGCGATTATAAAAGGGTAAATGAAGGAAAGTAAATGCGTGCGAACCAACTTTGTAGCCCTGAAATAAAGAATAACCAACCTTACTCACTCAGTGCACACGGTTTCATCTATCTAGCTTAGTGGGGCAGTCAGCATCAATAAAAAAAAAAGGTTTAGTGGTCGGCTTGACCGAGCACTAAACCTTTTTAACCCCATTTGAGCTCAAAACTGCCGTCTCGTCTCCGGTGTGAGGATGTGGCATGGTGTCGTGCCAGGGGCCGCATGCGAACCGGGGTCTACAGGTTGCCGACCCGTGTTCTAAGACTTCAGGGACCCAAAGAAAGCCTTCAGCGTCCCGAAAGAGTCTGCGAACCCCCACTCGAGAATTATTGCTTTGTACAGATATGATGATCGCATGAAGCACATGTGTACATACGTTTCCCAGCATTCTTCTTGCTCCTTCAGTAATAGACCCTTTGCGAAATTCTCAAAAGCCCTCGCGCACTACACCACAAATTATAGGAGTTTTCGGTATGCCCCCTGCCACTGTCTTTTTTTCGCTACCAGGTGATGTACGCAAGCAGACACAGGTTACCAAGGCAACAACATTTGAACAGCCGAGGCAGACAAACGCAAAAAAATGGGGAAGAGGGTATCACGTTGGCTAGTTCACGAGGGTGCCCCTTTCTCATCTGCCTTTTTTGTACAGGCTCCGTCGTCTGCTACACCGATGTTTTGTCGAACCCTGCCGCAGTTGCGGTGCAAAATAAGTGGATTCGGTGACACTGCAAGGTGTGAAAACAAGTTAAGACGCATTACGTAAATGAATAGCATGAAGGAGGCTTGATTCGACCCGGGTACCAAAGGCAGCGCGGATATGGTACGCCGCCAACGACTTACGACGCTCCTACGGATGGCCGGGATGGCTTTGACGGCTGTTGCTGCCACTCACGACCAGTCGCGGAGATGCAACGAGAAAGCGCATGATCTGTACCGAAGATTTCCGAAATCCTCTGCCGTCGTGGCGCGGTTTGTATCGCTACAGATCTCTTTGCCAGAAAGCCTATAGCAGTAACCTCTACCAGAGCCTCCAATGTAGGTTACACCCCACCTGTGGCCTCAGAGTAGGCACTACATCCCTCTCCGAGACGACAGGCATGGCGTAGCTTACACGGGGGCAGATAATATGCCAAGGTACAGCTCGCTATACTTCGTTCAACCTTACGAGAGACTGCAGCGGACGCTATGAGCCATCAGAGCTTATCCAACGTCACACGACCTTCGGGAGGGGACGCAGCAATGCCAGGGGCACGTAGTCATGCGATACATTCACGGCTTGGCTTGGCTGGGATGCCTCCTAGCATCCGCTGCGGTCTATTGTAAGCCGAAACGAAGCGTAACAAAACTTTGAACAGCAAATGAAGGAGACGAAGCAGAACCAAGAAGAGAGCATACCCGAAGAAGGATCCGCTTCGACCCACATGTCAAGCAGGAGCGGGACCAGTTCCTCCGCAAACTCGCGTCCGCCGGCCCGGCCCGTACCATCCGACTTCTCAGAGAGCAGTCCGGCGTGCAACCTAAAGGGCGGCTTCGAATGCACCAGTGGTGACGAAGGGAAGTTGACGAGCAGTGCGGCCTGCAGGAAACGCTCGAGCCGCAAGAGCACCCGCGCCCAGGCGACGCGGTTGGTGGTCCGGCGTCCCGGCTGAGACGAGAGAATGCGTCGCCGCTTGGCTGGCGGCACCGACGACTGCGTCTCGGCGCTGGCGGAGATCATGTTGAGGAAGTTGCGCAGCGTGCCGTAGGGAGCGCGGACGACCAGGGCCGGCACGCAGTCCAGCAAAACACCGAGCAGGTCGAGCGCGTCGTGGCGGACGTCGGGGCACAGGTGGTTGGTGGCGCAGCCCAGGTGAGAGAGGAGTAGGGGGCCAAAGGGTGAGAGGCGGTCGGCAGACACGGATCCCAGCACCAGCCGCAGGACCTGAAACGACAAGAGATGGCAGCTAAACCCCATTTCGCCTTACGTCTGGCCGCAACGGGCGCTATGAGCCGTCGGAGCCGATCTGAGGCTGTTTGCACGAGCGAAGCATTGCCCAGATCTACTTTGTAGACCTAATAACTGCTACTGCACCAAAAACTAAACATTTCTTCCTTAACCCCTTGCCTACTCATTTTTTTTCTTTAAAGATCGTACAGAAAGCTTTATTTAAATCAAGCAATTTGCGTCAAAATAAAGAAAAACGTTTCCTTGGCTTTTAGGCGTAGTCTCGTGCTCTATACCAGGACTTCTGGTCGTCTCCTCTTCTTCAGTAGTTCTTCACAGTATGATAGAAATCGAGAGATTAGCAGAAACCTCACATAGGACATCGTTTTGCCGAAAATTGGGGTCTCCACTATGGACTTCTTGGACCAGTTCATTTTGACTGTGTGTTTTTTCACTTGCGTCATAATGATGCACAAGGCAAAGTATGCCTTTATCTCATCCGGAGTGGTGTCAAACCATTGCTCCTCACAGCATTTCTTGGAACGATCCTCGTCGCCCATCTCTTGTTCGACGTAGCGATTTGTCTCGGCAGAGACAGACGCCCAAAAATCATGACTTGCAAACACGGAAAAGGTCGACAAGGCGCTTGTCTTCTCACCAAGACTGCGTTGAACCCTAGCTGACACACCTGGGGTTTCTACAAAGGTGAACTGAGCAGGCTGGTTGTCCCTCTGCTCCCAGTTCCAATGATGTGCAGACGCCGAAGTCGATGAAATGCTTCCAGGATTCGCATTGTTTTTAACACTTTTCTCACTGTCCGTTGAACTCTCATCGGATTCCGAGTAATCGGAAAGGCAGCAGGATTCGTTGTCAGAAATACTGGCGCATTCATCACTTTCAAAAAGAAGTCTTTGTATATCTTCGTCCGCCAAAGCAGACCTCCGCGCCTAAACATGTTTTTGGCGCGCTTGCTTACAATAGCGCGCTTATTTTTTGTCAATGGAGCGCCCTCTCTCTGTCAAAAGGCAAAGCAAACAAGAAAAGAACCCAAGGTAAACAGGAGCAACAGGGGTAGTGCTGCCATCTGCCGCAGAGCTCACAAAACAAGCTCTGAAACCGAAACACGAGTCACACTCGTGGTCGGGTTTTATGGTCCGTAAATGGCGGCACGAATGACACTCGTTATTAGTAGGCAAGGGGTTAAAGAAAGCTGGTTCAGTTATTCCTTAAAAGAGTTGGTTTACAACAGCGGAGCTGTTAAGGGCTAGTTTCCCCGGTATCATGTCCGTCAGAAAACAAATTATGACACGAAGCTCTGGACAGCTACCACCAACGGCGGCAACCAGACAACTGGCTTGCCGGCTGTCTGGTTGCCGCCAGTGCTCATACATGGCACAACCTTTCCGGCCTTTCCCTTGGGAGTCTCTAGGTCCCTTCCACTCTGGCTTGCCGACTTGCGGCCAGCCATTACTTCATTTCCACCATAGTGGAGCTTCGCTGGTCTTTTTTCTTCACTAAAGTGGAAAGGCTGAAAGTTTTTGTCATTCTTTTCTTTAAAAAGAAGTCGCCCTCGGGATGCTTTGGTGGGCATTCCAGCCCCCGCCAATTAAATCCACTCCGGCTAAAAGCTGGTTCACACGTTTGCATTCGAGTGTGACTGAGCGCGTTGTGACCACTTACGACGTGAGAACAGACTGGCGCCACCTAACAGCTGGCTCTGAAAACATGTCCCACCTGCGTACGACGAAGCTGTAGGCTTTTACAATATTGGCGAGATCACATTTAAGCACTGTCTACGAGAAATTATGCCTTATAATATTGTCAGAACTATTTCGAACACACCCCGAAAGAGGAAGCGTAAGGCAGTTGCAACGCAGTACCCAAACTGTGCGCCAGCCTTTCGTGACTGCGCAGAAAAGTGACAACACCCGGTGGCTTTACAATAAGTTGAAAACATTTTCGCCGGAGTTCTGCACCCCAAAAGGGGTGCAGCGTTGACTGACCATTTGAGCATCCCAAGCGCTAACACAACTACATTTCATTCATCTTTTTTTCCTCGTACATCCTAAGAATTGGAACCACCTTCCCAGTTCAATAAGTTCTTCCAGCACCGACTTGTAGCATTTTAAATCTGTTTTAACTAACCATGTTCTTGACGATTGTGTCTAAACTGCATTTTCTTTTTCATTCTAATGTGTTCCCGTTTTCTTAATTGTATTACTATATTGTTGCTCTCCCCCTCTGTAATGGCTTCGGGCCCTGAGGGAACAATAAGTAAATAAATAAATAAATAAACATCATCACGGCGAGAACGTTTTTGGGTTGAGAACCAGTTTGCTTCGATGGAGGGCTATCGTGTGAGTACGAGCAAGCACAGAGCGACTTGAGTACCTTCAGGGCAGCTCGTCGAACGCCGCCTTCTTTGTCGGAACAGGTGGTGCCCAAGATTTCAAGCAGTGCCTTGAGGTGCAGTGCAAAGGTCTCCGGATGACTGATGCCGAGTTCCTTGAGACCCGTCAGGGCGTCTAGACGGCTCGCTGCGTTGTAGTGGTGGAGCCTGGCAATGAGATCCTGCAAGTGGCATTGCAGGTTTCTTTGCTCATGATGGAAGTGCCTCTGCAGTGGGGGGCCAATTTGGATGGCGCAATACAACTCCAGAACTTTGACCTAATATGGCTTGCACAGATGCCCGATCAGTGGTCATTGTAAAGAACTTTGCTGCTGTGCGTGAAGCTTCAGCAACGTATATTTCGCACCACCAAATTCGTTTGTCTCGGCAAAAACAAGTAGGAATGACCGTTGGCAAGATGCAATGAAGTCACTTACAAGTGGTGTATACGGCGGGAAAGTGTTCCAAAATGCGTCTCTGGCTCATAGGAACGCAAATGGGGGCACGCCAATCAAAGGGCAGCATAGAGAACTTGCAGGGAACGCGCGGTGATAAGTCAGCCAGGCGCGCGCCACTATTCCTTGAGGTTAGGGGAGGGGGTGGGGGAACAAAAGTGTATGCAGAGCATACGAACTTGCGTGCCGTATAGGCACCGACAGGATGGGATCAGGGAGGTCTTTCAGTAGCTTGTCCTCCAGGGCGAGCCTCCTATATATCTATAAAGCCAACGACCATGTGCCGGAGGCCTACTTATTAGTGCGTCTAAAATACGTACATATCATGTTTGTATAACTTTTTAGAAGTCCCAGACGCTTCTGCCAACAGGTGTCGAAATAACGAAGCCAAATACCTGTCAGCTTGAGCCAACAAGTTGAAAGAAAGCGAACAAAAGCAGATGCTTGACAGTAAACGTATTTTCGAGAAGTAAGAACTTACAAAAGAACGGACAGAATGGCTGTGTACTATTTATTATAAAGCCGTTTTACCTGAATGTTTAGCTTCCGAGCTGTGGTCGGCTCGCCACTTGCCGGCTTCGAGGGTCTGTCGCGCAGGACGATTTTCTTCGTTTTGAAACTCGTGTCTGTCGTGTTCAGTGCTTGCGGGAGTTTCCGACCGACTCTCAACTTAACTTTCTGGAAGTCCTTTTGTTTTTTCTTGTTTTTACCCATTTTTAAGCACAAACGAAGTTCACGCACGCGGCCCGAGACGCGCCGTTTATTTTTCCTCTGAAACTCCTGCCAAACACGCCGACCGCAGTTTAATACATGTAAAGTAAGTAATAAGAACAAACAAGAACATTAAAAATAACTTATGCTAATTTAAATAATAAATATTAGGCGGCACAATCAGATTTCGTAATCTTTACAAGTACAGTTTTGAAAAATCGCGTCTAAAAATCTTTGCTGCGATGCTGTCTCAGAAGTTAAACCGGAAATGACGAATCCAACGGAGCGCCATCGGAGCGCTTGCCGTGTTTGCTGCCGGGGAAAACACAAAGGTAGTTCCCGCGTTCCCGCATCTGATTGCTGCTGCAAGATCTCTCGTCTTCTTCAATACTGTCGTTGCGAACGATTCAGCCGTCAATTGCGCGTCTGAGCACCTCATCCTGCTTGGCGGTGCCGCTCCGACCGGCATGCTGAACCCCGCAGAACACACGCCGTGCCACGGAATCCTCGACCGCCATTACACGCCATAACCGTCACGTGACATTCTGGATAAATCTTCCTAATCTCTCGCAGTTCGGCGAGACCCCGAAAAAAAAACCTGTGCATCAAGACCACCTCGGAACAACGCCAGTGCTTCAAACCAGTGACGCAGTGAAACGCCGCAAGAAACTAACCCGAAAATAGGAGACAACATCGAACCACCATGACGACCCGTGTGTTTGTGGGTCGCCTCAACTACGATGTGCGAGAACGGGACTTGGAGAAGTTCTTCAAAGGCTACGGCCGCATCGGTGAAGTTCTGCTCAAAAACGGCTACGGCTTCGTCGAGTTCGACGACTACCGTGACGCTGAAGACGCGGTGCACGATCTCAACGGTAAGAAGCTGATGGGCGAACGCATCTCGGTCGAACTGGCGCGAGGCATCCGCCGTGGGCCGGGCACCGGCTACGGCGGAGCAAGCAGCTCGCGCCGGTACGGCCCGCCCAGCCGCACCGAGTACCAGCTCCTCGTGGAAAACCTGAGCAGCAGCGTGAGCTGGCAAGACCTCAAAGATTTTATGCGGCAAGCCGGCGAAGTCACCTACACGGACGCACACAAGCTGCGACGCAATGAGGGAGTCGTCGAGTTCGCCACCTACTCCGACATGAAGAACGCGCTGATCAAACTCAACCACATGGATCTGGACGGCCGTCGAATCCGACTGATCGAGGCGAAGCGTCTGCGCCGGTCGGGGTCGAGGTCCCGGTCCCGGTCCAGATCGCGACCGAGGAAACGTCGCGCCGACTCCAGCCGCTCCAACTCGCGCTCGAGGAGCCGGTCCTACAGCAGATCGCGGTCCCCGCCGCCCCGTCGTCGCGGCAGCAGGTCTGAGTCGCGTTCCAGGTCGCGCTCGAGGTCCAAGACTAGAGGCAAGAGGTCCCCGTCCGGACGCAGTCGCTCCAGGTCGCGTTCGACTCCTCCGAGAAACAAGTCACGCTCCGTGTCCAAGGGCAGGGACGAACCGAAGGCGAGAGATTCCCGATCAAAGTCGCGGAGCCGCTCGAGATCCACGTCGAAAGGTGCCGAGAGGAACAACAGGTCGAGGTCCAAGTCGCCCGCAGAGAACCGGAGCAGGCGGTCTCGGAGCCGCTCGGCGAGTCCTGCCCGCAACTCGACGTCCAAGAACGAACAAGGAGGCAGCCGGTCGCGTTCGCGCTCGTCGTCTGCAAACAGCAACGCGTAGTGGAGTTCTCCCCTACCAAGTGGGGATCTCGGCACCATTGCGTGTTTTAAATCGTTTCACGACGCGCCGCCGCCTCGATTTTGCCACCAAATCACGTACATACGATTTTTTGTTTTGCCTTCTATCACCCCCTCTCTTTGTCGCATTTGTTCTTCCCTTCTTTTTTTACGTCTTTGTTGTTGTGGATCGCCAATAAAGGCAAGAAAAAAGCTCGAGTGTTTGGTTTGGAGCTTGACACACTTGCACGCAAATCTCTTCATGAACTAGGGCAAATCTGCACGAGCAACAGTCCTATCGGTGACTTGTACGCAACATCATTCTTGTCAAGAACTAATTTAATTGTCCAAAATATTTGCTGCAGTAGGTCACATTAGTTCAGCAGTCAATGTGACGTGACATTAATTCACACTATATACAATACCTTAACAAACTCGTCTGCCATGCACCACGAAACTACAAGGTGGGCGGGAAGTTGCGATTTGAAATGACTGGTTAAGCGCCAACCAATTTTAACTAATGTTGCACGGTCCTTAGGAAAATTGTCTATATAACAAGACATCTACTGCAAGGAAAATGGCAGAAACTTTCTACAGGATTGCACCCAAATAGCTTCAAGTTTGAAGGGGAAACTGCAAATTGGGCCCCACAAAGTAGAGAGCTGGGCTAGTTTGTGGAACTTTAACAAGGTGTAGGTGTAAAAGCCTACAGACTAAAAGAAGGAACAAACAATATGGGACACGTGCTTGTTCCTTCCCTGGTCCTCGTTTTTATGTGCTGTTACACCTACAGCATGTTACGTCCCACAAAATTGATGACGACCGAGTCAGTTGCAGATGCTAAAGGAACATTTCAATGCTGTGTTAGGAAAGATTCCCCACAGTTTTCATTACAGGACAACTGACGACATAACGCAGGGCTTGCAACACCTGGTTGGCAATGCAATTGCATGACTGGAAATTCAGTGCACCACATAACATACCCATGGTCATGGGTGAATGTATTCATTTGTAGCAAAATCATGGCCGTTTACAAGCAGCTAGCCGACTTCCTGCCCATCCAGATTCATACGCCCACTCCAATGTCAATGGGCATTTTGAGCAGTGAAAGATAAAGCCACTACAGACTTATTTGATAGGCAAAAGTTTTACCCTTTCTGTTTCTAGACAATCCATACCGTAACAGTGCTATGGTGAGCACGACAAGGCACCTTATGTTCAATTATAGCAATTTACTGAAATCTTCCTGAGGCGCCCGTATGCCTGCACACCAAGTGTCGATCAAGGCTGTGCGTGTGCTAATCTTCATGCCTGAAATGCCATAGAAAGTGATGATGGTGCCAACAGGCCAGGACATTTGTACAAAGCTTATGCTCCATTGCTTGTTTTGAGGCACGCTGCAAAACGCAGCGTGAAGACGACATTGGCACTTTTTTGCACTTCACTTGGCCGGAGTACCGACAATTGCAAAGTTTACCGTTCAGGTTTGACTTCCCGAATGAGCACTGTTCGTGGCAAGAAGTTTCAATATCGCTGCCTGGCGGAATTTTTTCACAACCCAGAGTGAGGACACTTCGACCTCCTCTGCTGGTGCAAGCACAGGCAAGACCAGGCTTCTATGCAGTATGAAAATTAAGACAACCACGTGGATAGCATGTGCACCACCCCTAGTAAAAAAAACAGAAGTGCACCTCGTGACCTTCTCACTGTGAATACTTCACACTAGTAGCTTTGACAACGGTCCCAATTCTCAGAAAAACCGACTACCGTGGAATCTCATTAATTCAAACTCGCGAATACTTCAAACTAACATGCAGGTCCCATCCTACGTGCTTCTAGGAAGGAAACTCCCAAAAACTGCATTATTCAAACAAAAAATTTTGGTTCCCCTCGGGTTCAGATGGAGATTCCACGGTATCTCTCTTTGTGCCAACAGAGTCGCAGTCTGTACTTACCAGCAATACAGAGGGAAGTTCAAAGCCGAAGGCAAAGAAAGCGAGTCTACGGACAAACACAACAAAAGTGTCGACGACCATAGTGTGTTCCCCAAAAAAGCTGCAGTGTTTTCTTCACTGCAAAAATAAACAACCGTAAAATACCGCAAAAGTGCCCACTTTGTTCAAGTGGCCACTATTAACGTATTCCAAACTTGGGAATTCTGCGAATTGGTATACGTTAAGCACACGGTTTGACCGGACGAGCGCACATGTCTAGATTAATCCAGTTTGCAGCAAAACGGGGGCGGGGGTACTCCCCCAGTATTTTACAGTACGCATTGCTGAACGCTCAAAATCCATCCCAATGTAGCACTTGGTTTGGTGCCAAAGTCCTGAAACTTTGGCACCAAACCAGGTGCCAAAGTTTCAGGACTGTCCGTTATCTCGATCAAAGGTTACGGGTGATTTTCTGAAAATTTCATTGGGAAAATCGGGCCCGTTTTTGGTACCCAGTGCCATTCGGCCCCTTGTATTCAAGAGATCCTTCGGCCGTCATTTTCCCATTGAAATTTTCGAAAAATCGCTCATAACTTTTAAATAAGATGACGGTTAGTTCTGAAACGTTGGTATCTGGTTTGGACAGCTAGCACTATATTTTAGCAGAGAATGAGCGTTTGGCGATACACAGTTTATATTTGCGGTGAAAAACAAAACCTGCAAACATTTTTTGGAGGGACACCCTTGTATTTTGGATTACCACTACACACATATGTAGCATTTCAAAAGAAAGCCGATGCATTTAAGTTGCAAGACTGCAATGGCAAAAGCTGGCTGTCAATCTTGTACATTTAAAAGGGATGTTCACCACTGCATTTTAAACATATTACGTGAACAAGATCTTTGCTTTAGTAGTTGCAGAAATCCATTTTAATGTATTTCTATATATCTACCGCAGAATGTCGCACATCTGCCCATTCCACACTAACTGCCCATTCCCAAATTTGTAAGATCTGAGAAAATATGCACCGTCCATTCATATGTAAAGTTGATGACCAGACAAGTGGCCCTCCCCCATTTTTTTTGCAATTACCTCAAAATTTTGAGTAGGAGCTTGCCTAGTATTTCACAATACTAGCCAAGTGCCTACAATGTTTTTGCAATGTTTTTTTTTTTTTTTTGCAAACAATTTTCACCTGGTTTTGTACCTCTGCACCGATACATCATCAGAAGAAGTCTTCTTTAGACCCCCCCCCCCCCCCCCCCCCCCCAATCGCCGCATTTGTTTTTTTGTTCGAAAACAAAAAGAAATATATTTCAAATCTACCAGATCATAGCCAGTCACATTCAAAGAGCAGCAACATTTAAAAAAATGCCACGTATTGCAAAGCTAGCTTGAAACTAACTACCATCGTCAGTTGTTGTCAAAGGATTCCACTACCGATGCCTTCTGTGAGTTTAAATCGCTTTATCGGTCTTATTTACAAAATGTACGGGCGCACCACAAAAACGTCCCAAATGTCGCTTCCTCCACAAGCTGCTCTTCCGTTGCAGGTCATGTTGCATTTAAAAACAAAAAAAGAACTGATGGCAGCGGTGGCTTCGCTATTCGACTGACCGGAATCGCCGTGCTATCTTACAACTTGCAGAGGAAAGCGAACCTTCCTCGCGCCCAGACGAAGAACCTGCAGGTGGTGGGTATAGGAGTCTCTGTACACTGGCGTGATGTCGGCACGGCACCGGCAGCCGGGGGGTACGCTGGCCAAACGTCGGGAAGGACCCGGCCTGTGTAGCTCAGGACGGCTTGTGCCGATGTTGTCCGCTGCTTGGCTTGTTGCGCTGGTGTTTCACTCTTCTGATGTAGCCCTCGACAAGAGCCTTTATCTTGACTGGGTTGATTTCTCCCGATTTATTGTGGCACACCTGCACAAGGGCACGTGGTTTGGTCAATGGACGTTGTTCGGGACATCTTTGAAAGTGAGGATAAAGAACATCCAATTTCCAAAATTCCTGCGATTTCAGATAAGGAATAGTTATCAGCGTAACTGAAAATCTCATCCTGGCTTCCTTCTAGCTTTCTTCATGTGCTCTTTGGGCCAGTTCATACATACACTGCAGAGCTAAACCAGCTCTAGGAACAGCACTGACTTAGTGCTGATGCAGTGTCGTATAGAATATGTACATGTCGTGAAGTCGGCGCTGCATCGGCGAGGTCGGCTCTATCTCTAGCGCCGACTAATATTGCGGAGGAAGCACACTGGTGTATGTATGAATAGGCCCCTCCTGACCTTCCCCTGATAACATAAGTTGAGCAGCTAATCCCTGCTGGAGCAAACACAAGTGTGGGAACAAATGTTTCTGCTTCGAGTACAAGACACTAGAAGCGGCGTGCCAGCAGAGGTAAAAAAAAGAATTGGATGAAAAAATTACGGGAAGATCCATTGGTGGATTCTTAAGGAACTCAATAGCATGACCCTTGGAAAAACCACACACGTACCCCCCTTTGGGAAACGCTATCGATGACCCCTTCATTTTTTTCTCTATGCTTTCTCTTTGCTTCTTCTATTTCTTGCTGCCTCCTTTTGGCTTCGTTTTGGGGACAGTGTTAGCATTTCCCAAAGAGGGCATGTATGGCATTTCCCAAGGTTCATGCTCACGGATTACTTAAGAATCCACTAATGAATGTTTCTGTAATTTTTTTTTCACCCTTATTTTTTTTTGTCCTCTGCCTGTCAGTGTACATCGACGCCCTTGGATATGGTCATGCATATCACTTGAGGAAAGAACCACATCCATACCGCTCATAGAAAGAACCGAATCCGTGGCTGTGTTCCAAATCTTACCCAAATGGATCTGAGTTACTCCGGCGGATCGTATCACATGACAGCACAGATTGAAAAACGCTAGACACGGGTAGGTTTAAGAACGCCAAGGGTACAAAACCCTTACCCTGGGGTAAGATCGAGTAAATTTTAGAACACGGCCCAGATCACTCGTGGAGCGAATCGCATGCATCATTTTAACTACACACAGACGTCACAGCCCACGCACCGCTACTACGGAAACCCAGAGCGAACAACAACCAGCGACAGCAGAGCGGCAACTGAGCACGCCCGCATTCCATCACGTCGTCGCATAACACCTTTTAGATAACAAAGCCGTAATGTTGAATGAGATGGCGTCATCTGAAAGGGCCAACGCTGGGCAGAGATTGGACATGGCGATTGCCTCAACGTTCGGTTCAAACTTGACTCGAAGCCGAGCCCCGGCGCAGCACTCGTTACAAATCTGTGTCCAGTGTTGGCCTTCTCTGATTAAGCAATCTCATTCAACACTACGGCTTTGTTATCTAGGAGGTGCTGAGCAGCGCCTCCTCTTCTCTGGCTCCGCATCAGCTGGGCGCGTGAATTTGCCGAAAACGAAAGGGCTCGTTCCGACGAAAACCCGGCGGTGTCTGTCAGTTAGTCAGCGCCGGGGAGAGGGAGAGGTTGACGTGTGCCAATGAACCAATGGAAGTGTCGCACGCGTTATCCTCTCCCCCTCGTTCTCCCTCTCTCTCCCCGGCGCTGATATGCGAAAAACACCGCTGGGTTTTCGCCATAAAAGGGGGCGTTCTAATGCTAACAGATTAAAGGGGCCATGCAACAATATTCGCCTGGAATGTTTTTCACCGTACACGAGTTTACTGACATTAGTGGGACCCAAGTAAATTCACACGCAATGCCACTGACCGAGAAACTTCTTTGCTGCGGTGTAATTTCAAGGACAAAAGCGAGCGTTTTCGTTCAATCTCTCCTTCGCAAAACTTGACGACGTAGCTGGGCGGTTCGAGTACCACCCAGTGATGACATTTGAATGCGGCTCATAGACTGGACCCGAGCATTGCGTGAGCACTCGATTCGGGCTCGTGATAATCAATAGCTGGACAAGCTTTCGGGTAGTGGCCCGTCTCCAGTCGCAGTAACGACGAACGCTGAACCATAACAATGTCTGGAATTCGGCACGTGTCCCATACTTTGCCAACCCCAGCGCATGGCTATGATAAAAATTGGCGGCATATGATCACTTCCAGATCACGTGGCCTCTTGCTCTGGCTGCAAGTTGAGAAAGTGAATGCTACTCACTTTTTTTTTTTTTTTCTGCGACTTTCATTGCATGCGGTGCATAGGTGTTTAACATCAGGGATTCGTTCTAAGCGGTATTTACGCCAAGTACAAAAATTGTTGCATTGCCTCTTTAAAAACAAACGCACACAGGTTTGTTTTAGGTCAAAAGCTAGAGCTCAGCTGATACCAGTAAACTAGGTTCACTAAATAAGCTACACATGGAGTATGAGAACTCTAGTCTCCAATGTTCTCGTGGGTACCGCCATTTTGGTGCCTAGCGCAGAGCAGGTGCAATTTGTGATCGTTACGATTCAATGGCTGAAGTGGTGTTACACTGAAGTGCAGATCATTCAGTGGCACTAGGTGTCAGTGTCGGAGCGCGGTTCACACCCTAGCAGAGCGGCTTCTTTAGTCTTGCTTCACAGTGTAGTGGGGGGGGGGGGGTTTGGAGCAGAGCAGACAGCGCCACCTACTTTGGGAACGGACTTCCGGAGGATGTCCTTGTACTCCTCCTTAGAGATTTCCCGATGGTTGTAGTAAGGCTTGAGGGCCAACTTCACCTCCTCTACCACACGCTCCTGGCGATTCAGCTTCTTCAAGAACTGCAGGGAGGCAACAAGACCGAAAACGGTGCATCTATAGCTTGCTCACACAAATGTGAAACTGCACCGCTTCGAACCTCCACGTGATGCATGGCTTGGGTGCTCGAAGTGGCTATGAGAGAGCTCAATGTTTTGAGTGCAGGCAGTGGTTCCAGAATAGCTACACTGAGCCAATGACACTCCTGTAGCACACTTTCTAGTGACCTCTTTGACATTGCTTTGCTGGCTCAACTGGTTAAAAAAAAAACAATTCAATCACTACATCTCTTGTGAGTATGTGCACTGTTTATGGGCAAGTCCATGCACCTTCACATAGCACACACACACACATCCAATTGTCACAATCTAAATAAAAAACGAAGCCAATGACACTCGCTCTGACTGGCTGTCGGCAATAACAATACTATGACTGGCTATTTCGAGGAATGCTCGAGGAATTCTTGGGGATTCCTCAAGTTTCCAAATTTCCTCGACTGTTCCTGCCCCTTAAAAAACCACTGAAAAGAAAAAAAATTTTTTTTTTTTTTTAAATGGTTTGTTTGGAACACAAACATCAATAAATAAATTTCACCTAAAAAAAAAAAAAAAAAAAAAATTGAGAGCCTATTGATCGCACGAGACGCGATTTAGTCGCTACAGTCATTTACAGGTTAAGGCCCGTTCACACTCTTGCGACCTCTTAAACCTGAGTTCCTTAAAACTTCTTAAACCAGAGAACATACTGGCGCCATCTATTGGGAAGCAGTGTAAACTCGGCGGTCCGGCATATTTTTTTTTTATTTCTCGCGCATTATCCTTTCTTTTTTGGCTCAAAAAACTTTTGTTAATGTTATAAACGAGCCTTTCTATGGGTATTACGCACATTTGACCTCGGAAATACGCAAAACCTTCGCTCTTGTGAAATGCAGTTCCAGGGTCACTGCATAGATGGCACCACTATGCCAGTGTGTTCCCTCATTCTAAAAAACATTTAAGAAGTTTTAAGAGATCTCGTCTCTCTCAGTCGTACTCGGTCGCAAGAGTGTGAACGGGCCTTTCAGAAAAGTTTTCGAGGAAAAGGAACGATGGGGAAGAGGAAGCACACTAAATGCCAAAGAAAGGAAGAGGTTTCCTCCTCTTCTCTCTAGCATTCCGTCTGCTTTCTCGTCCCCAACCTTCCTTTCCCTCGAAAACTTTTCTTACCCTGTAACTGACTACAGTCACCTCGTTTCCACTTGTTTTCTCTCGGCATTTAAGGAGGAGAGGTGGATCGGCGTGGCCATCACGTTGAGGTGGAGAGGGTGTATGACCATCTCGTTGAGGTGGAAAGACTATATGACCATTTTGTAACGTCATGAACTTTGCACGCAGGACGTAAAATAAATCTTGCGTCATCAAAATAGCTCTAAAAATTATTTTTTTTTCGCCTAAAATTAATTTTTTGACATACGAGTCCCAAACAGACTGTTTGGGACAAGCTTTATTACACCAAGAAAGAAGCGTTTGAGAACCCCTACAGTAGGCTAAAAAAAAGTTTTTCAAAAGTCCACACACATCCAACAAGCCCCGTCACAGATTGCTTAAACCGGCTGTGGTGGGAAAGCCTCACCTTCTCCTTGACCTGCATCTCCACAGCCGAACTGGGCAGCTCGTCCAGTATCTTAAGCTGGCTCTCATCCATTCGCATGGCGGACTTGGAGTCGACCTTAAAGGTTGACACCAGGGAGCCAATGGCCGCCCTGCCCTTGTCCACGGTGAAGTGCACAATGTGCTTGCGGTCCTTAGAAGACGTCCTGCCGTGCTTCTTGGACCCCTTGCTCCGGCCCTTGCGCTCCACGGCAGCCAGCGCCGGCAGGAGAGCGTCGAACGCAGAGACCACTCGGTCCGCCTCCTTGGCGACCTCCTTTCCGAAGGAGTCGCCATGGGGTGGGGAGTCCGGCGGGGAGTACGGGGAGTCAACCTCCATGTCCACGACCTCCGTGTGGTCCGGCTTGGGCGCCGTGGCGGCCGCACCAGACGCAAGAGGCAACGCCGCTGCCGCAGCCGTCGTCGTGGCGGTCACAGCCGCGGGCGGCAGGACGCGCATCATGGGGGGCGGCAGCATCCCTGGCGGGGGCGCCAATATGGCGCCCAGGGCAGGGGGCACAAACGGGGCGCGGAGCCCGAGGATCACGGGGGCAGCGGTCGGGGCCCACGCCCCATGGAGGTTCGCCACGACCAGAGACCGCGGAGGTGCCAGGAAGCTCGGCGGCGGCGGGAGGTGCAGGCTCGGCACGGCTGTCGTCGTCGGCGTTGCTGCGACCGTCACGGGCGGAACAGCCGTGGGGGTGGGCGGGGCGGCCGGCTGTTGCCGCGTCGGCTGCCGAGCTGGTTGCTGCTGCCGCGCCGGTTCCGGTTCGGGCGGGAGGGGGGGCAGCTCCGGTTCGGGGGGCGGCCGCGGCTTCTCGGCCACAGGGGGCGGACTCGGACTCCTGGTTGGCTCGCACGGGTCGTAGCTGTTGTCCTCCGGCGGCGAGGGTGGAGAAGGCGGCGGGCTCGATTCCGGCGACAGCTGCACCACCGGTGGAGACGGCTGCAGCAACGGTTCCGGGGTTGTGTCTTGTTTCGAGGGCTTCTCCTCTGCAGGAGACTCCTGGGCCTCGAGGGGAGACGCTGGCTTCTCCTCATAGTCGCTCTCGGAGGACGCCCCGTCGTCGTAGATCGAGGAACGGTCGTCGTCTTCCTCGCCCAGATCGCTCTCGTCATCGTCGTCTCGTCTGCCGTCCATGTCTGCCACGAGTCGCCCTTTTTTCCTCGAGTCGTCGTCCTCGCTGTCGGTGAGGTCGTACTCCGGCGAAAGGGCCCTTTTTCGCGACCTTGAATCTCGGCTCCGGTGACTGTCTCGCTCCTCGGGACTGGGTGGCTTTGCTTCTTTCCGCCGGTTGAAGTTGACATTGATGATGATGCTGTCCCCCTTGGCAATCACCTCCTTGGACTCAATTGGAGTGGGCTCTACCTCGAGGAACGGGCTCGGCGATCTGTCTTTCCTCCTCTCGTGCTTCTCCTTCCAGTAGTCTTTCTCTACGGCCACCTTGATCTTCTCCTCTTGCCCTCGCCGTGACTCTCGCCCTTCTCTAGACTCCCGCGTGTCCCTAGATTCCCGCGTGTCCCTAGATTCCCGTGTGTCTCTAGACTGCCGTACGTCTCTAGACTCTCGTGTGTCCCTAGATTCTCGCGACTCCCTAGGCTCCCGTGTGTCCCTCTCTCGTGTATCCCTCGATTCCCGTGTCTCTCTAGACTCCCGCGTATCCCTAGATTCCTTTGTATCCCTGGATTCGCGCGAATCTCTTGAGTCCCGCGCGTCTCTTGATTCTCGCACCTCCCTCGATTCCCGTGTGTCCCTGGACTCCCTTGTTTCCCTCGGCTCCCGCACGTCCCTAGATTCCCGAGATTCCCGCGGTTCTCTACTCTCCCGCTCCTCGTGTCTCCTAGACTCCCGCCTTTCCTCCTTTCTTGACTCCTTCTGTCGAGTCTTGCTTGAGGATCTCTCCGAAGAATGGTCCCTCCGGTGGCGACTGCTGCTGCTGTGCCGGTGGTGCTCCTTCCGATCCTTGGAGTCGTTTCGGCGGTCCTTGCTGCTGTGGTGGCCATACTCCTTGCTTCCACTGCTGCTGCTCTGCTTGTCCTTCTCTTTATCTTTGTGCTTGTCCTTGCGATCCTTGTGGGACGAGGAGGAAGAAGAGGACGACTTGTCCTTGTGCGATCTCTCCTTGTGCCAGTCTTTCTTCTTGTCTGGCCGAACGTACAGCTCCCGGTCGGGACGCCTTTCCTTCTTGGGTGCCCTCTTTTCCTCTTCCCTGCGTGACGACCGGTCGTCTGCAAGGAGTTCCGCCCTCTCCTTCTCCTTCTCCCTCTCCCGCTTCTTGATCTCCCGCTCCTTGAACAAGATGACTTCGTCCTTGGGCTTTCCGTCCCGATAGCTGCGCTCCCTCGAGTGCTTTGACAGCTTCTTCCAGCTGATTTCACCTCCGCTGCCCAAATCCACCCTGCTAAGGACGCTAGTTCTCTTTGAGTCTGAGCGGGATGCGCTGGGGGAGCCCTGAAGACCCGCATCCGAGTATCCCCCCTTGTCCCGCTTGAGCTTTGGGATGCGGGGGAGCTCGGAGATGTTGATCCGAGGCGCTAGCTCGGAGAACTCGTCTGGCTCTTCTTGCTCCTTGCGCCGCCTACAGGAGGACCGCTCTTCCACAATCTCCCCCTCTTCCCTGTCTTCGTCTTCATCCCTGTTGCGGCAGCGCCGGTGCTTGCGGTGGTGACACCCCTCCTTCTTCCTCTTCGACTTCTTTGACCTCCTTCCCTCTTCCTTTCTTCTCGGCTTCACCGGTTCAACAATGACCACATCGTCCATCTGATCCAGAAGGCCGTCTGCACTCCCAGCCTCCGACACCTCCTCCATGTCGTTGTCTTCGACCAGGCCCTCTTCCTCACTGTCCTCCAGTGCGCCCTCTTCCTCCTCCTCCTCTTCCTCTGGAGACGTGATGTCTTCCGTCACGGAAGGGTCCAGGAGACCACGAACCAGACCGTCGTGGACCTCTTCTTTCGGGTCCTCGGGAGGAGACGCAATTTCAACCACTGGTTCTGGTTCATCGACAATGCCTTCCTCCGGGTTCTCGTCCCCCTCAGGGCTCTCTATCTCTTTAGGAGACGACGCATCGTCGTCTTCTAGCTCTCCGTCCTCGTTTTCTTCCCCTACATCATCTAAGGTGTTGTCTGCAGCCTCGTTCACAGGAACATCTCCAACGTCGTCCGTGGCATCCTCTGCAACGTCCTCCGCTGTGTGACCTGCAACTTCCGCGACATCGTCTGCAACGTCACCTCCAACATCTTCTGCAACATCATCCGCGGCATCTTCCGCAACATCGTCTACAGCGTCCTCCGCAACATCTTCCATATTCTCATCTTCCCTTTCGTCTAGGTCCTTCTGATCGGCGTCTTCCTTCTGCTGATTTCCGGTCGTTGGCGACGGAGGGGGAGACGACGCATCGCTTTCATCCGCGGGAGAATGCACATCTGCTGCTTTCCCCACGTCAAGCTGCTCCTCCCCTTCGCCATTTTCGGAACCTTCTTCCCCGTCCGCAGAACCGACACTCTGCTGCTCTTCATCCCCTTCTTCCGCACTAGAGTTCCCGTTCTGCACCACCTCACGAACGCCCCCGGAGTCACGCGAGATGTTACCGTTTTCTTCCAGGGGAGACGGGCTCCGAACGCTCGCCACCTCCAATGCAGCCTCTTCCTCTTCACTCCCTTCTCCTTTCCCCCCTTCTTCCTCTTCAACCGCGTTCCCGACCGGGTTTTCCTGCTCGTCGATCACAAGCTCGTTCTCGCTCGACGAAGTGTCGTCGTTCTCGACCGCGCTCCGATGTCGCAGGTCGGATCCGCCGGCCCGACGGTCAGCGGGGGACTTGACGGTGTTCTCGTCTGTCGAAAACGCTACGCGGTCTCTGTTATTGTTGCTGTTATTGTTGTTATTAGTGTCTTCGTTGCCAACGTCGTGGTTTGCACAATCGTCCCCCAACGACTCAATGTCACTATAAATATCCACCTCTTCTTCACTTTCCCGGACATTGTCCGTGCCGTTCTTCGGTCGGTCTTTCGCCTTTTTACCGAGCACATACTCGTCGGGCGGCGTCGAGTAGAAGCAGCCGTCGCGGCCCGACCCTGCGTGATTGTTGTCGCCATCGTCGCCGCCGAAAGGGCGCGACGCTCCATCGCCACCGGTACCCGAGAAAGTGGCGGCGGAAGATGCGGCCAGGCAAGTTCCGTCGCCGCTTGCACGCTTGGAAGGCGCGGCGGCGGCCGTCACGGCGTGGTCGGCGTGGTTCTGCGTGGGAGACGTCGAGGTTGAAGATCCCGGGCTGCGGGGTCTCTTCTGCACCGTGTTCGGAGGGACCTTGCGGAGGTCCAGTGATCCGTTTCGCTGCAGGATGCTCTGGGTAAGTCCGTTTTTGCACGGAGATCTGGACTGCATCTGGCCAAGAATTTTGCCCAGGATGTCCCCGCAGCAAGGCTCTAGGGAATCCCTCGACAGCGTGGTACGCACCCTGTTGGACAGAAAAGCGGAAGCCCCAAAATTAGTTGAGGCTTTGGGGGAAATTGGGTTATGGGGATATTTATACAGCGTGTAGTTGGTCAGCCATTTAAAGTTGTGACGAGTCACTCGCTGTAGATGAGCAATTTAGTTAGTGCAGCGCAACCGCTAGCCTGGGGTCTTTAACGTGCACCACGCAGTGGTGATACATGAACGCACGACGGTACGATGCTCATCCAGATCGAAACGGGCAGGGGTGGGGCTCGAACCCAGGATCCCTGGGTCCTGCAGAGCGAGCTTTCGCTCCACGTGCGTCGAGCTGGGTGTGCGCTTTAGCCCACTCGGCCACCGATCCCCCCAAGGCTTTGGGGGAACTAGTGGAGCGTAGATTGAAAATGTGAACTCATTTTTCCCCACTCAGATGCATACATGACGAGAGTGCCATGACGTGGATATCAAGTACTACTTGACATACCACATGTTTCTGCAAAGACATTCAAACATTACTAAAACTAAGGTGTTTGAAAAAAAAAGAGAAACTCCTTTCGGGAAGAAACTTCAGGCCACGGCGGATGTCGGGGGTTACAAAAAGCGTACCAATTAGCAAAATATCTACTTGAGATCAACTAACTTTTTAGCTAGTGAAAATAAAAATATGGTTCCAATTAGAAACCTGCCGAGTGTTGTCGAAAGACCCTAAATCAGTCAACTTTACAATGCTTTGAAGCAAGTACGGAGCATGGAAGTGCGCCAAAGTCATCTCTCGTGCAGCATGTATATGGCCGGAAAATGCGGATGATGTTCTTCTTATTCGTGTTTTCGCATTGCCGACCTTGCGCCTGCTGCGCGAGAGGTAACTCTAGTGCACCCCCGTGCTTCCCACATGACTGATTCGGGGTTTTTCGAAGACGCTCGGCAAGTTTCTAGTTGGAACTGCATGCTTACGTTCATCAATTAAAATGCAAATGAGTAACTCTCGTTTAATTATTTTTTTTAATTAGTATGCTTTTACAGCAACATTCGTTAGTGGGAACCTCCCATGAGAAATGCACGGGAGTCCTTTGCGGAAACTCCCGGCGACGTCACCATACCCACAATCGCTTCCGGCCGCCGCCGCTGCGTTTAAGCGAAAACAAAAATTTTTATCTGCCGAGACGGATTCGAACCAGCAACCTACGACAGCAATCAACTGTCATGCCAAGTGAGCTGTCGACGGGACATAGTTTAAAGCAGGGGTTCTCAGAGTTCAGGGGACCACAGGAGTTCCACAAGCTGGTCTCATGGGTTCCGTGAACACCTGAATTGCAACCAACCCCCCCCCCCCCCCCCCTCCCCTCCCCCGCCGCATGCTGCGCGGCAGGACCATGCAAAGCGCCTTCATCTCACTTTGTACTGACATCGCAATTGATATGGTGGGGATATATGGGAAGCAACACAAGCAAAATTGCCTACAATTGTGCATCTGTTGCTTCTCGGTCGGCAAATACAGAGGGGGGGAAGGGGAGGGTTCCGCGGCAGTTTTTGAGGCTTCCTGGGATTCCGTGAGACCAAGAAGTTTGAGAACCCCTGGTTTAGAGAATGAAAGGAAGTATACGATCTGTTTCTTTCTACATTCAATAATGCGTTGGCATCTCATGAGCCTCGAGTGTACACGCAACGCAAGAGCACGCATCAAAAGGCAGCGACTGCGTGCTGGAGGCGCGGCATTCGAAACAGACACTCCTCCATTTTGTCAGTGACTGAGGAACATGTTGCCTGCAGCGACAACACCTAGAAAACAACTCCTGCGCTTTAGCCCCCACGCCAATCAAACGTTATCACTAGTGAATCTATACATTGCCGCCTAGCTTAGACATCGGAAAGTCCACAGTGGATCCGAACAATGCGAATTTGAGTTGCGGTATGCCAAGGAGGCTCGTCGTAGACGAAGTAGGGATGAGGCACGCGAACGGAACCGAGGGCGGAAGCGAAAATGGCGTGAAAATCCTCAGAGCTGCGCTGAGGAGGCGGCGCAGAAAAGACAACGCACCATAATGACGACAAATTCCGTAAGCGGCGAACTGCTGTCGCCAATACGCACATTACGTGTAAGCGTGAATGTGCTCAAACGTCTTGCGATTCCCGACGTCTGCCGTGGTTAACCGTTTGTCCTCGGAAAAATTATGTTTTTACAGCGAAGCTGTTAAGGGCTAGGTGCCCGAATATCGTGTCCGGTACAAAACACTTGTCAACAAAAACGCTTCTGGAAAGCTACCGCCATCTATAAGCGACGGCGGCAAGCACATAACCAGTATGGTTGCCGCCGTCACTTGTAGATGGCGCCAACCTTTCCAGCTATCATAGAAGAATAGATAGTTGGGCGGCGCGTTGGTGGGAATTCATCGTAGGAAACAGACGACGACAAAGCACGCATAACGAGCGCAGCGCTCGTCCCGTGTGTGTCTTTGTCCTCGACTGTTTTGCGCTCTGTTTTCGCTCTTATTTGTTTCGGTTCAGACCTAGGATGGGTCGGCCGCGCGCCCTTTCGGGGAAAGAAGACTGGCTGTGGAAGGAGCGGCAACGTACGCAGCAGTGCGAATGGGTCCGTAACCGCCGGAAAGCCGCTGTCGCCTTGACTTCCACTGCGTCGAGCGCTTCAGATTCCCTTGCCAAAGAAGAGCACATCGCTCGCCTGGAAAGTCGCCGCCGAGAACAGAACCAGTGATGTAAAGGGCGCCGGCGGGCCAACGCCACGGACGATGATCGTGCCAGGGAGGCCAAGCGCAAACGCGAGGCCCGGCGACGACTGCACTTCATGTCGGCTGAACAGTTCCTGGGCGCGACGGCGATGTTCCGGAGGGAGTTCATGGATTACTCGTTTGGCGTCACGTGCGCCATGTGCGACCAACTCTGGGTCGCTGGAGATGTATCCACGATCGGCTGCGTGTCGGACAAGAAGAAGCGGGAAACGGGTGCATGCGCGTTGCACCAGTGTATCAAGTACAGCTCCGCTGGTCTTCTTCACGAGAGTGGAAAGGCTGAACGTTTTTTTCTCTCTTCAACACCCTGTTCTTAGAAATGTTTGAAAGCGTTTGCAGAAACAACCATTATTTTCCCTAAAAGGTCTAGACACGCAAGTCTTAAGCCGCGTTTACGTGAATGCGACTTAGTCGCATCGAATCCAGTTGTCGTATTCAATGGGGTCATGTAAACGGCATAATGCGCAAAGAAAGCGCATCGCATTCAAGCCGCCAGACAGAGGTGAATCGAGATGGCAAGTGCGCATTCATTCAGCCCATCTAAACGGAGGTCGCATTGCATTTCGGAACGGGGAAGGTTATGGGAAGGTGCTCGCTGCGGGAGCGAGTGAACAGCTGAGAACATGGCGGCGGCCAACCTCGTCGGCGGCGCGGACAGCGGTCCTGTATGGTCGCCTGCAATTTTTTCCCGAAAAGAAATGCGAGCTTTTATTGATATCATAAGGAAGCGGAATATAGCGGAGCTGCTCGGTGAGGGCAGCCCCCGTCCAAGCCTTGCGAAGTACGACTTGCGCGTCCGAAGGGGTCCCAAAGGCTTCAGTGCAAGCTCGAACGACACCGAGAGCTCGGAGCACTGTAGAGCACTGCATGGTAGCGCAGAACGAGCAGCTCCTACCTCGGTGCCGTTCCTGGCTGCGCGGGAGCCTTTCGGACTCGGGGTCCGGTTGGTCCGGTCGCGATCGGCGAGGTCTGGCGTGGCGAAGCGCGGAGGCTTCCTCGAAGCGTGCGCACACACGTCGCCTCTGGTCCAGAGTGACCCGGCGGCCCGGTTTGGAGCCCTAAACGCTTGGGTTTTGATGTTTCTTCCGTCTCGTAACTTCTTCTGCAGCACCGAAGACAGCGGCCTCGATCTTTACGTTCACTGAATGCGACGAAAGAGTCGAAAGACCTCCATGTGCGATGCACCGGAAAACGTGGTGCGGCTGGTTCCGGAAGTGCATAACTTCCCAGCTTTGACACGGCGTGGCGCCACCTTCGTGTAGGGCTTGGTGCGCATTCATGTAAATGTTGCCGCGTCGGCTTCGTTTGAAGAACGACTGGAGTCGATGCGCTGAAGTCGCTTTCATGTAAACGAGGCTACAGTTATGATTGCACCTGCGTCAATGTGCCGCAACACTCCGCAAATCTCTTTGACACTACACTGTTTACAGACTGGGGGGCCAGTCCTCGGACCATCAAGCTCCCTGGACTATTGCTTCTACGGGATTGAGAGGTTGGAGGGATCATACGACGGAAAAAAGGTCGACGCACCGATCTCGAGGCGGGGCGGGCCTCAGCAGGAGTTCCTTGGCACGTGCTCTTGCCGCCTGAGGATTCACCCTTCTCGTCGACACCATGTCACCATTGCTGCCTTCGTCGCAACTGAAACACATAAAGAGAAAAGAAAAAAACTCGTGCAATTAGATAAAAAAAAAAAAAAAAAAAAAATGGGGCAGTCCTGTGTTAGTGTTAATTTACAGTACAGTCACAGCGATAGCTGTGACATGCCACGGATAAAGTCGTTAGGTAATGGCGTCGCGTTCACGTGCCGTGGAGCGCGAGAACAAAAGCGTTTGAAACAAAAAGTAGACACCTCACCAATTTGTTCCAAACGCTTTTATTTCTTTTTTATTCCGGAGCGCGTGAAAGTGTGTCTCCCGGCACAAACTCTTGGCATTGACGGTGCTACAACGGCATTTTGTTATCGGCTATTTTTGTTTTTTCCAGAGAGCACGTGCAGTGGCCATCGGGTACTAGAAAAACCCCAAAAATAGAGCGGGTTGTTAACACTGTGGCGCAGCTCAGCGGCAACGCCTTCGCTTTGGATGCAGCGAACACAGGTTTGATGCCTGTGGGTGGCGGGTGATCTATTTCAAGGATTTGGCAAAACTAACAACAGATGCCCTACAATGCCAACCACAACAACAAAAACGGACGTCATTTCCAGGGGTGGGAAGAGCCCACAACAGCTATCGATGTAAAACACGACTAAAAGATCACAGTTGACCCATTTCCAAGAACTGTAGACATTTGCAGTTGGCCCAGCCTTTTCTCAGTCTGGGTCAATAGCCACGAAAGGATATTAAGCTACTTGTGACCGAGTACATTGGGTTCTCCCGACAGCATGACACATCTAAACACAGAAAGCGTCCGCAAAACCGTCGTGACATGCCCATACCTTTCATGCCATGTACAAGGAATAAAACGGGCCGCAGTCGCATCACATTAGTAATCAGGAAACTGCCAGCAGAGTTGAAACATGACGCAACAAAAGACACAAGGTATGCATTGTGTACAAGAGAAAAGAAGCAACAAGAGGGCGCTTCCCAGTTTCCCCGCTTCGTCATCGCGTCCCACTGCGCAAAACATGAACTCTACGCGTCTCCCATGGGCAGAGTTCCAAAATTGACTCAATTCTCCCTTCGGAAGGGAGGTGACTTGGAGATTAAAAAGCTACTTGTGTCCGGCGTCGCTCGCTCCGTGTTATCACACGATACGACCCCCAGGAGTAACTCTGATGTCCTCGAGCAAGATTCGGAACACAGCAAAGACCATTTTTGCATTGGAGAAAGCATTGACAAGAACGAAAAGGACGACTCACCTGCCATCGAGGGAGACCAGCTCGTCCCTGTCGCCAAAGAGGGACAAGCCGTGCGCCGGTCCCTGGCCCTGGCTGGAGAAGTTGCGGGAGTATCTGCCCATGCCCAAGTCGACGTGGCGCATCAGGGGCAGGCTGCTGCCGGGCGTTCGAGCCAGTCCGAGGCGCTTGGCGATTCGCTGCCGGACCGAGAGAGGCTGTGCCAGCGGGCGCGCCGACTGCCGGGACCGCCGCGTCTGAATCGGGTGCGAGACAGCCAGGGCGAAACCTCATCAAAGAGTGCCGGGACAGTGGAGGTTCGCCTAGGTATCTTCGATAATGGACGTACTGTTGAAACATGCTACATTTGTTAACTGATAAACCTCAATTAATCAACGCCGAAGTGCTATGGTAGCCATAGAATACTATCGAAACTTCTAAGTGGTCTGATGCGAGCATCATGCTGGTGTGCAGCTGTGTAATTGTACTTCCGCTCGATGCACGAATCCAAGGGTAGAGATTGTGCTGTGGCATTATAATTTCCCACTTATGGCAGACATACCAGACACCATTTGAAGGTGAACTAAGCAGTGGTGTAGCAACTGGGGGGGGGGGGGGGGGGCTAGGGGCCCTGGGCACCAGGCGTCCAAGTCACGTAGGGGGGTTCCACATCTGGTAGCACCCGGCAACCCCTCCCTTCCCCCGTTTACTGGTTCGTTGCGATATCGGGGAGTGAAAGAGAGAGGGAGGGGAGGGGAGGGGGCTGCGAATGACATGCCGGCCTTGGATGCTGGATGGCCTAGCTAAGTCACTGGAACTACCGCAAAGTTACGAAAGAATACCCACCCAAAATGAAGAGATAAATGGTGAAAAACATCTTTTGGGTGCCACAGCAAAACTATCAAAAATGAATGATAAACACCCTGGCACCGGCTACAAACCACGCGACGTGTTAAATGATGCCGCAGATCGCAGACACTGCAAATTCACGTTTCACGATGCAATAAAAACACGGGAATTCGCTACAAATTCCTGTGTTACAAGAAAGGATACCGCGGGTTGCAGACTTAGCAGATCTGCGTTTCATGGTGTGAAGGACCCACAGAAATCAACCGAGAACTTGCATCTCATGAAAATGAATACCACAAATCGCGGACGCAGCAGATTTAAGGGGGAACATGACCCCCAGTTTAAAAATTTTTTGCAAAAATTCATTTTTCAATTTTGAGGTTTTCGGTTTGGTGACAGGGCCCCTCACTTTAGAAACTGCACTACGGTGACGGGGCAACAGCAACCGATACAGATGTCCAATGGATACCCCATTCTAGAAGCGCTTCGGGGCGCTGAGATACAGCGTCGGCTTCACGAGCTGAGGGTCTACGGTTCGAATCGCGTTCTGGAAAATACTTTCTTTTTCACTTTTTATATTTTTATTTAGGTTACAGACGCTATATTTACGTGTAGGGACAGGGACAGGAGCGCGAAGCGTGTGTTAATGTGCTTGTAAATTACAAGTGATTAATTCTCACTGTTACCACCACATACAACACAGGACAGGGCCCCTCACTCTTGCCGGCCGCACTACGGTGAGGGGCCCCCCTCACTTTTGCCTACCGCACTACAGTGACGGGCCCTTCATAGCTTTCAATAATGCTGCATGATCGAATTGTCGGCCGTGTCTGTTAACGGGGGGGGGGGGGGGGAACTTAGGTTAAAGCGCGTATAAATTATAAGCGCTCTCACAGTTTCGTTAGACATAGACCGCACCGGGGGACGGGGCCCCTCACTTTTGCCTACTGCCCTACAGTGACAGGGCCCCCTCACTTTAGTTGGCTGCACTACAGTGACGAGCCCCCTCACCATAGTGAGTGCCTTTCGGTTTTAGGAACTAATTATACACCCTTACACTAAATTTCATAACCATGCGGCAAATAGTTAACGTTGATAAAAAATATTTTCAACACTTTGTGAGGCAGTAAAAAAGTAAAGGAGTTCAATGTCTGAATGCATATTTCTCAGTTCCGCTTTTTGCTGCAAATTTCATACGAAGAAATCTTTTGCTCAAAGGTAAAAGTTATTCTGATACCACAATCAAGATGTTTCTGAAATGAAATTTACTGGGACAGTAAATCTCGCGGACAAAAAAGCAGGAATCCGCTACAAACTTTGTGTCACGGGAACGGATGCCGCAGGTGGGGATGCTGTAGATTCACATTTCACAGTGCAAGATACACACAAGAACTACTCGCGTGTTACGGGAGCCGATATCACGCATGCAGATCGCTGACAAAAGCGCGGGAATCCACTATGAACTTGCCTGTCAGACGTGCGGATACAGTAAATTGCGTGGTTAATGCAATTCTCGTCAGACATCGCCTGACATCCGACAGGAGTCCGGTGGGCGATGTTTAGAAATATTTGTGTTACAGATACTTTGCCAGAAAAATGGGATGGCGATATTTCGGGGGCGGGTGTTCTCTCGCAACTTTACAGTAAGTTGCTTCATAGGACAAATTCAACTTTTTTTTACTCAAGGGTCAACATTACCACCTCTCTAGCTTAAATAAGTCCAGAAAATACAGTAGCTTGGGAGCTTACAAAGCTTGTAAACACTAATAAACATACTAGATAGCATTTGACTCATAGTCAAGCATCAATGGGTGGCTTAGATCTGCCGAAGTAGTTCTGGCTAAACGCTTTACCCAGGGGCAGAACGGTCGAGAAAATTTCTGGTCGTGGAGAATTCGAGAAGGTAGTCTAGGGAACTCCTGGGGTCTCTAGTACCTGGAACGCGTATACCACTGGTGTGCTTGGCATCCCATTTCAGTCACGCGTCCAAAGTGGTAACAAACGACGTCAGAAAAGCCGGGACGTTGTTCTGTCGATCGTCGCAGGCCGTAAAAGTTCTAACAAACAGCACGAGCAAACGCGAGCATGCACCAACCGAAGACGCGTTTCAGACACCACGGTTCCTAGGAACCCGGTTCGAGAACCCGTGTTCTAATCTGTCTTTGTCCGGCGAGTCTACCCCAGAACCAATCGGTCCTCGGCGGCAACTTCCCGACCAACTGGAAAGAGACAAGACTCGGCAGACGACGTCTCACCGTCCTGGTCTTTCTCTTGCCCGACTTGCGGCGCGTCTTCTTCCGACTGCGCCCGCTCTTGCTCTTCCCCGACTTGGCCTTGGTGGTTTTCCGGCGGGAGCTGCTCTTCCCCTTCTTGCCTGTCGTCCTCCGTCGCCGCCTCGTCGTTTTCCTCCGCTTGGCGGTGGCGGAGGAGCGTTGCCGTGCGGGGGCCCTCGATGCGGACGACTGCACGTGAGTAACAGTCCGGGTCAGAAAACGACCCACAGAAGCTTTGAACCAACCCAAGTCACGTACGGGCATCACTGTTGTCAACGGGATTGCTGGTTCTTCAATTACAGACGCGATCAAAGGGCAATGAACAACAAATGAAGAACTGCCTCTTAGTATGTAGGCCCGGGTGAAAAAGAATAAAGACGGGCTGGTGTGTCAGCAGCTCCAAGATTTCTTGAATGTGCATTCTTCTAGCGAATATCACGTAAAACTATGCAACCGTATCTTTATCAAATAACGATATACACGAGGCAGAAATTCAATATCCTTTGCGCTAAAATTAAGGTCTGCTCTATTTTGAGGCAGACTTCGTAGGCTAGCCGGAGCTGCATAGTTTCCCTAACACGCTAGCCAATGCGACAGTTAAGGAGCTGGAGAAAGCGCGCAACATTTCAAACTACCACAATATTCCAAGAGATGCCCCACCCCCGAAAGATAACCCGTCGCCTATTTTTTGCTTGAATTGCTGTTTTCCTTAAAGTGCCAAAAGACAGCCTACTCCTAGAAATCATAGTGCTTGAATCAATGATGACTTTGGCATAAATGCGGCTAGGTAGCTATGGCAGGATGTAGCCGAATATTGCCGACTGGGAAGTACAGTCATTGTCTCTTGCTGCAAGAACCAGTTTACCAAAAATGACCGCATCTCCACGTGGTGAATGATGTTGCACTCATCAGCACTACCAGGGCAAAGCTCTGGTAGTGCTGATGATACTGATTTTGTTCATAGGTAGTGCTGATGGTGCTGATTTTTTTTTATTGCTCATAGGTAGTGCTAAGTTCTGGGTTGCGTTTCGACTTCACTATTACTGCTTTATGGTCGGTGAAATGCAGAGCCAGTGGTTCTTCTAGTGGATCAGCTTGGATCCGCTAGAAGCTGTGGGAACGCATCTCCACTGCTTAAGTCAACAGTCCATGTCAGAGAGAGAATGTGTGGTATGGAACGTGGTTATATACGCATTTGAGCTTTTGACCGCAGCGCGCTCTCGTCTATAAATGTTGAGCCAATGCATGCAAAGTTTAACGCGATTATATACGTATTTGACCGCAGCGCCCTCTCCTGTATAGACGTTGAGCGGCTACATGCAACGTTTCATCCATGACATCCCCAGCTCTTGAGTTACTACCACATCTCAAAGCCCCCAACTCGTCCCACTGTCGTGGCAGAGTGGTTAAGGCGATGGACTAGAAATCCGTTGGGGTCTCCTGCACAGGTTCGAATCCTGTCGACTGAGCAAACATTTTTTATTTTTTTAAGAAGACAGATGGGATGGCAATCAATGTGAGCATGGGCGCCGGACGGACAAGGCAAGACACCAAGGAGCTTCGCCCCTAAAAAACATAACCTCAAAATGGCGTCTTTTTCAAAAACTTTTCTTTGTTGGACGTTGAATGTTATTCCACTCCCTATTTTCACCCGATTTGCTCTCGATTTTAGGTGGGCTATCTCTCGGGATGTTACGGTAGGAAAATGGAGGAAAACACCTAACACCATAGTTGCCAACAAGACAACAATGGCAGGGTGTCCCTCTTGCAATCACGCGCTCGTTGCCTGTCGCCATGCTTTGGCCGCGCGTGAACTCATAAAGCTGAAACCTTTCTCTGCCATTCTTATCGTGCAAGCAACTACTACAGGCATCCCAGGATAGAAACCAACATTACGGAGGTACTGTATAAGGGTATTTACTTGGGCTAGTTGGTCATACTTTGTGAACATTAGAAGCGCTAAAAAGATGAGGAGTAGTAAGGGAAGACACATACGTTACACAGCACACTTTCAACTGAAGTTTATTCTGAATTGATCAAACAGAAAAAAATCATATATGCCTTATCAACAAAACACCTGTGTCCCCCCCCCCCCCCTCCCCCATGTACACACATCGTCCTACAAATCTACATTTATTCATACTAGCTTGGCTAAGGCATATTTGCTTTTTTCCCCGTTTGATCAATTCAAATTAAACAATGCAAGGGCACGACTCGCCTCAAGGGCAGCCGAAGACTCGCTTCCGTCCTCGACGGCCGCCCTCCGCCGCTGTATACGAATACGGACGGTCTCACTGGCGCGTGTCCTGGCAATGGCCCTGCGGAAACCGGTGTTGCCGGGCCGGAACCTGGTCGCCAGGAGCTCGCGAAACTCTGCCATTGCGTCTCCGGAGAGGGGCTCGTCTGCAAACGCCGTTAGCAAACGTGAGAATGACGAGGTTGCACTCGGGTTTAGCTGAAACAATGATATATCGTTTTCGCGTTTCTTCGCCACTTGAAATGTAGCCGGACAATACAGCAATACAGTGGGCTAAATATAAATGAAAAAGATTGGCAATCAACAGTGGGCTAAAAATTATTAAAAGTTTCTTCAATCTTTATAACAGAGGCGCATTTAGGACACCTCTGTTCACGTCTGCTTGAAACCACAGTCCGCCACGTGCACTACAGACCTCACCAAACAAATTGTTTAAGAACTGGCGCTTGAACTTTCAGTCGGCTGCTATGTAGTGGTGACTGCTTTGCGTCGCTGCTGTGCCTGGTGCTCTCGTTCCACATCCCTTGGTCTCCTCTTTTTTCGCTGCTTTGGCGGTACACAAAGCTCTCGCAAGCAACAGCCTTCACGTAAGTGTAGTGTGCTTAGCTGCTGCTGACCACACGCCTAGGAAAGTCCATGCTCCAAGAGCACTCACAGATTCACGTGAAGCGTGCATTTATTGGCAATTGCACGCTCCATGCCGTACACTTTATCGAGGCCATATCCCAGACTCTGACAAAAGAGCGGCGAGAGCCGGACCTTGTGGGTAACCTGGTGGTCCAAAGCATTCGACCAGGTTGTCCGCACATTTAATCGTCTCTAGCCATTTCTACTGTGAGGTGGCAAAGTGCAATCGGCCAAGCAAGCGGCACTCCGTTGCCAATGAAAAGCTACCGCAAAAGTATGGCAAAGCTTTAACAGGGCCCCTAAAAAAATTTTTTTTTTTTTTTAAAACAATCTGGTTGGGACACGCTAAACAAAAAATTTTATTTCACGCAAAAAGAAACACAAAAAAAAACATTTTTTTTTTTAGAGCAATATTGAAGGCGCAAGATTTATTTTAAATACTGCGCAAAACGATTGTGACGTCACGGAATGGTCATACGCTCTCTCCCCCTCAACGTGTTGGCCAAGCCAATCCACCTCGTCTCCACGTGCCCGAAATGCTGAGAGAAAACAAGTGGAAAGAGGAGGTGACTGCCGACTAAATTGCATCTCGTGCCGCCAATATTGCTCTAAAGTATTTAGTATTTTTTTCTGCAAAAAATTAATTTCTCGACAAACATGCCCTAACCAAGGCGTCTAAAAAATATTTTTCTTTTCTTTTCAGGGGCTTTTTAAGTCACGACACGCGAAGATAACGGTGAATGAACGACTATTGTAATACAGTCTTGGGAGCTAGTTACTTTTTCCGGTAACTTTTGCCTGTAACGCATTACTCTTTAATATTGGTAACTTGTAACTGTAGCACTGTTACTTTTTATTGGGTGACTGTAACTGTTTAGTCCGTTACAGTTACTTTTTTTTTACCATATAAATTAGAACCCACTGCCGCGGACATGAAAAAATTTTCATCTTGAAGTATTTTTCTCTAAAGCTCCTCGACGACAAAACAAAAATAATAAAGAGAAGCGTGGTCACGCATTAAACAAACGAAAAATTGCCTGGTTTAGCCCACGACCGAGAATGGACGAAGGACGAGTCAGCACGAAACTGAGAGATAAAGGAAGCGGCGCCTGCGGTGGTAGGGACGGCAAACAATGTCTCTTTCACCGACTTAGGGTCACCCTTCTTTCGTGGGGACCATCTGCAGGTGTCGGTGGTTGTGTGATATGTCTCTTGAGTATTCCGTCTGGGCTGTGTCCGTGCTGTCGTTTTTACACCCAGCCGTTCGCCGTTTCCTCTTCCCTATTAGTTATCAAGGAAGCCGTCCCCATATTGTGCAGAAAGCCGGCACTTGTTCAACTTATTCATTCTCTTCGGAGGCTCTCGAGTGAACACGACTTCTACAGTTGGTGTTTCGGACATAGACGCCGGGGTGGTCGCCGTACACTCGTAAAGCACCAGAAGTTAATTGTCTCCTTTCCCCTTTATTCTTTCGAAGCTGTTTGACCTGCTATGTTTAGGCCTGCTTCCAAGTATATCCCATAAGGTAATTATGTGACTATATCTGTCCTCATTCATTTCGGAGTGTAATGTAAATCAAAACGTTCACTGACACGTGCCGATGACAATTTTGAAAAACTGTTGATTCTAGGTTATAACAATTATTGCAAATAAATTATGCACATCAAAATGCTGAAATGGCAAATGATGCAAAAAAAGAAACACACTTCGGGTTCAAATTTTTCTAATATCTCAGTTTACCTTTCTTTTCACTATAATGTAACAACTTAAATATTATTGTTTTGGTTTGAAATTTCTTGTGTCCAATTTTCGTACTGTAACGAGAAAGTAACGACGTTACTGTTTTTGCAGTAACTGTAACATGTTACTTTTTTGAAACCGGTAACTGTAACTGTAACAGAGTTACTTTTTCCCCTTAGGTAACTGCAACTGTAACACTGTTACTTTTTACTGGTAACGTGCCCATGACTGCTGTAATATGCCGAAAGATGCCCCACCCCTCAGATGATAACCTGCCCCCTATTTTCGGCATGATTTGCTATTTTAAAAAAAAAACACAGACAGCTTATTTATAATAATTGCAGTGTCGTGGCCATTGATGACCTCGGCAGAAACAGTGACACTTAGACATGGCGGGAGACGAGCGAACATTGCCAACTGGGAACGACGGTCGTCTTTGATTCATAGCCCCTCCCCGCGACCACACGTTTCACAGCTCACAAAATCTAAAACTAGCACTTTTGCTTTAGATGTTAGGTGGGCCATCTCTCGAAACGTTACGCTACGCGTTGTCGAATTGGCACGTCACGTTGTTCTCTGAAGTGGGTGGTAGCGGCGAGGAAAGTCCTGCACCCTACGAGTGTTAAGCATCTAAAGAAAAGAATAGAGAAGCGCCCTCGAAAAAGCAGCAGATTCCCTCCACGACCACGTCTCCCCGCCGGCCCCACAGGACCGGGGCGGGGGAGTCCGCCCTCACCCTGGGAGTGGTCCGGGGCGCAGTCCGGGCAGTACCACTCCTCGACTGGCACGGTGTCCAGGGGCGGGGTCAGGCACTCGCAGTGGTAGCCCAGGTCGCAGGCGTCGCACAGAAGCAGCCTGTCCTCCCGGTCGCAGTTGCCGCACACCTCGCAGTACGTCAGGTCCTCTTCCTCCTCCTCCTCCTCCTTCTCGGGGGAGCCCACTGAGATCTGGCGCACCATCTTGTCCCCCTGCCGGACCAGGATCAGCCGGAACACCGAGCGGTCCACGGGGCACGTGTTCACATTCTGCGAAAGTGAGAGACTTCCATCGTACCTCCTTGCGGGCATAACAGGTATGAGCCTCTACCGCACCCATTTGGGTTTGGTTTTGGTGCATTCTATTGCAATGGCAGTCATAGGGGCTTCTTGGCACATTTGCGATGTCGGCGTCGTGCCAGGCATATAACTCTGCCCCGCGATGCTGGGCGAAGCGCGCACCTGACTCCGGTTAGGAGGCAGGGTCTTCTACGGTTGGCAGAGACACCACTGCGCATTCCTCAGCGTAGAACTCGATTTCCATGTACCGTCAAATGTGAAGCGACTCTCCACTCGTAACGGCACCTTTCTTTATTTATGCGCCGTTCACTCCAAGGCCGAGTTGGCAGTCAAGGCCACAAGCATGAGCTAGCCTGCGCTCCTGGCTTCGAGACGTGCCTTTCTGGCGAGAGCGCTCTTTCTGCGGAAAAATGTTTCAAAGCAGCGACCTCTTGCTCTAGTGCTTGTGACATCGGCTGCAGTCTCGGCTTAAGGGTGAACGGAACGTAGTCTTGGGCAGAGACGTCGACTCGTGCGAGTGCGTTCCCCAGTGATGCGATTGACCGAAGTCATTTTGTAGCAACTTTTGGTGCTGCCAAAAGCCCATTATGGAGCAGCAAATTGTACTTTTGGAGCACAAGCACACACTTCATTTTTATTTATACTATTGTGAATATCACATGTTAAGATTTGTGTGTTGGCCTATATAACTAAAAGACGTGCATGCTTTGCCTTCACACTTTTGTGCAACAGCAGGTTTGATTTCCTCATACACAGAACTACCTGTTTAGTTGCACATAGAAGCACAAGGCATGGCAAAAAGATGCTGATAGATGAAGGACAGTACGTACTGCTGTAAATGGTCATCTTAGGTATGAAATCAAATGTAAACCAGATAGTATATTCCACCACAACAATGTTTGAATAATTTTGAGCACACCAACTGATGTTTCATTCAAGTTCTAAAGATTATAATGAAACAAAAATTCTTAATTCAGATTAAAGAAAATTGCAGTGGCTTAGCTCGACTATGCCAGGATATACGTAGCGTGACCTTATGCGCACAAAATGAGAGGTGCTATCAAGCGGCTCCGGTGCAGCGTCAGACTTGGCTACTGCGCAACGGAGGCGCACAGCTGGGCACGCGGCGGCGCCAGTGCGTCTGCCGCGGCTATGACGGCACTCCTCTGAAATGTGCAGACCGGCGAGGTACGCGCGGTGGCGGCGAAGTGTGCGGCGGCTCCGGCGCGCCAGCTGTGCGTCATGTGACATCACTGCTCCTCGCGCATGTGCAGACCGGCGAGGCACGCGCGGCGGCAGCGTCTCCGGCGTGCCAGCTGTGCACCGTTTGACGTCACTGCTCCTCGCGCATGCGCAGCATGGCTCTTTGGGAGCCATGCGAAACTGCTCAACCTCGGCCAGTGTAGCTAACGCTACAAAAAGTAATTAAATTATGAAAATCAATGACATTTTGTATATAGTCCCTCATAATAACAGAGATCGGCATGTAAACAATAAGCATGCCGTCTTAAAACAATTCAGCCAAAGTCGTTAAGGTTATTCCTTTTACTGCTTTACCTAATTTAGTTATAATTTACTCTACAGACTGAACTTTGAACTGATAAAACATATATAAAAGTGACAACTGAACAATGGGGTTCAAATAAAAATAAAGCCATAGAGCAGTTAATATAAATTCTCTTGCGAGAAACCCTCGCTTGCATCTGCAGCTGCTTCGGCCTTTTTCTGCGAGCAGAACATAATTTTTGAGGTCGAGGTGAGGACACAATCGCAGCCCATCATTTGACGTTCATAACGGGACACGGCTCAACCCATTGAGGTTGCAAACAGTTCTTTCAAACTCACCTCTGTAGAACGACATATGGTATACTTCGTTTCAGTTTCGGTCCGAGCGCGGCCGATGTTATGAGCCGAAGAGCCAATCAAAGAGCGCAAAAAGCGCAGCGCCATGGCGTGCTCGCTGCGCTTGATAGGACTAGCCGGCGGAGGAACACGCACAGAGAGACGGCGAATACCAGCTGGTCCTATCAACTGCAGAGAGCACGCCATGACGTTGTGCCTCTTTCGCTGTTTGATTGGCCCTTCGGCTCATAACATCGGCCGCGCTCGGACCGAAGCTTAAACGAAGTATAGTGCAAGCAACATACAGCGTCGGCACAGGGGTTAAAAACATAAAAGCCAATCTCTGTGAAATAGCCGATGCTCGAAGAGGTTGGCCAGTTTACAATTATCTGAGCAAAATATCAAATGCCTGATGCAACCCGTTGTCTTGAAGTCGTGATGTCATTGTGGCACTGCAGTTGAAGTCATATCTGACGCTCTGACTTCGCTCATTAAAAATTTCCCATTGGTTACTCATGCAACACTCTTGAAGAACTGAGGGGGAAGGTCCCCGGGAAATTGAAAGTATCTGTTTTACGTCAGTAGATGAATACGGACAATCGCATAAATGTATGTGGGTTATTTAATGCGGGAAAAAGATTCAAAATACACATATAGGTCAGAATTTTTTCAAACATTTCACGGCCCCTTTAATGGTGTTATGCCACTTTCGATAGACCCTTTTCAAAAGTCTGCGTCAGCGTCTGTCCGCCACTGCTCGATTATATACTCGGAGCATGTATTGGACACGAAATCTACGTCAATGTGACCTCGGCTCAGTTCATATTGAAAATGAGCGCTGCTTCGGTGTTTGGTGAGGACTTGGACACGATCATGCGCTTAGTGTCCAAGCAATGGCGACCACCAATGTTGCTTGATGGGCTTTGGAAAAGGCTCTATTGACACCTTTATGCCTCTAAGCTATATTAAAAACTTGGTAATGTCAGAACTATAGTAGGACATGTGATGTTGTTTTCCAATTTGTTTTTAGGTTCGGTATTCTTGTGTACATAATGTTAGTGTGTTTGATGTCTGTGCGTGGGTGTTTCTTTTTCGTCTGTGTTGTAATGTACTACTGGGAAGGCATGTTGCTATTGGTGGGCATCAATAAATAAACATAGCATCTTCGTATGCATATTTTTATGAAACATAATACACGATCACATTGCTCAAATTTGTCCGTTTATTTTTGACATTCAATACTGTTCCTTCCTAAGGTCACAGAACAATGACTTCTCATTTGACCCCAATCGACCTTCTTCATACGACGGGCGAATTGCGGGCTAAGAGGGGCAAGTCCCATTCCTAAGATACGAACTGCAGGAGCCAAATTTTGACGAAGAATGACAAAGGCCCCCAGCGTATGCAGTGCTCTAGTCTCCTCCGCTGAACCAACCAGTGACACAACCTACTCCCCGCATCTGCAGCAGCCAGAGAAAAGAAGCCAAGACCCAGCCATGCCTACAGGCCCTTGAAAAAAGCTCGCACTTCGTGTTTCATACAAGTACCAACAACCATTGTTGTGCGAAAAAAGGAGAGACGTGCCACGCGCAACTGCTGCGCTGCCATTTTGCTTCCAAGGGCCACCGAAATATGACCCTTGTGCCTTGGCACATTTAACGCTACTTGTAGAAGACTGTCCAAACGGGACACAGCAGATGCAGTGCACAATAAAAATGCCCACGCTTCTCGGAAAACTAGAAAGTTGCGGCATGCATGTTTTAGTGAGGACAACAACCACGCAAACAGCACGGGTTTTCTCCTCGCCCCCTCCCCTTTCTCCTTTTGGGAGATTTGGGATTAAGGACAATAGCAGAGGTCTGGACGACAGTCAGCAGAGCATTTGAGTAGCCAACCAGCCCCAAGTGATGAGCACGCTCCAAGTTTCTTTCTAAGGACGAAAGCAGAGAGAAGCTTACCCCCGGCAAAAGAAAAATGTGCCAAAACGGACAGAAACCAGAGGATAACCTCCACTTCCAGTACAGCGAATACTGCGACCTCAGGAAATGCACCCTGTTTGGACAGCCCTTATAGGCCGACCTACGAAACCGGGCAGAAAACCAATTCCCAGTTTTTTCTCTCCTCCTATCGCCACGAGAGCAGGTCTTCAAGCTACTTCCTGCCGAAAGGAATGCCCCTGTTTTCGAACGAAGATGAGGAATCACGGGAGAGTTTCCTCCTCGCTGGCCACTTGTTGGCCCTTCAAGACGAACACAGAGACGTCGAGGGGGCCTTACCCGCGCCCACTCCTGGATGCAGTCGAGGCAGAAGACGTGGTCGCAGCTCTCCGGGGTGCCCTCTTCCTGCCCAAGGAACCGGTTGAGGCAGATGGGGCAGCGCTCCGACTGGCCGTCGCTAGCGCTGCTGCCGTTGCTGGCGTCCTCAGCCGCGTCCGGAACGCTCAGGGCCGGCGAGGCACCCGCGCGGGAAGCCGCCGACCGACAGCTTTCTATCAGCAGCTCTGCACAACAATCCTCAGATTTACGACACGCCGTGGGGTCTTCGACTAGCATCTCTGGGGCCGTGTACAGCCCATCTATCAAAAGGGACCCCGAAGTGGCAACTAATCTGGAGCGCAAGTTTGTCTGCTTCGTGCACAGGGGTTGCGATGATGTCAGAATGCCGAGCTCTTATTGGCCGATTGAAAAGAATAGTGGGTAGACCTCAAGGCATTTAGCAGAGGTCTACCCACTATCCTTTCAATCAAAGCCAATCGGAGCTTGGTGTCATTCTGACATTACTGTAATTCCTGCGCAAGAAGCAGACGACTTGCTCGCCACATTACGCCGTGGAAGCCGGCGCGTCACGCCGTCACACGTCGCAATCGTGGCGGTTGGACGTAGACGATCCGGCACAAGAGATGAGCGAAGGCAAGCATTACTGTCATCGCAGCGTCCCAACTCCTGGCTGTCGAAACTTCAGGGAACTATTAAGCTTAAGAGGATACCGTAGAGAGGACCATGCGTTTCTAAGTTCTACACATTTCTCGAATCGGGAGCTAAAAGCTAAGGTTAAATTTTTTGTATAAGGGCTCGCACGAAACGACCCAGATAAGCACTAAATCTTTAAACTGCAAAAAAAAAAAAAAGCAAGTTCAGGTTAGAGATTAAAAACCCATTCACACACTTGAGTCTACTTAGGATTGAGTTCTTGCGACGTCTTACGACGAGAGGATGCGCTGGCTGCCTTCTACGGGATGACCACGGAACTGCATTTCGCTAGAGCAAAGGTTTTGCGGTATTTGCGAGGTCAACTCTGCGTACCGTTCATGAGAAAAGTGTATTTATGACAGTCGCACAAGTTTTTAGAGCCAAAAGATAAATGATGGTGCACAAAACAAAAGGCATACGGAATTGCCAGGTGTTCCACGGCCATCCGACAGATGAGGCTAGTGTATTCTCTCGCCGCAAGAGATTTTAAAAGGTCTCGATAAGGCACGCGGTTGTAGACAGTCACAAGCGTGTGGACCAGCCGCGAGGACCCCGGGCTACCAGTTAGACTTCAATCCTAAAAACTAGTCCTCTACAGCAGAAGATGCTAAATTCCATGTCGAAGGCAGACTCATGTTCCAAAGCCTATACAGTCGAGTCTTGTTAATTCAAACTTGTGGATAATTCAAACTAACATGCACGTCCCATCCTATGCGTCTCTATGGCAGGAAACTCCCGGTAATTCAAACTTCGCTTTATTCAAGGTTTCAGTTTCCCTCGAGTTTGAATTAATGGGATTCGATTGTACTCCATTTCGCTCCACGATGGATCCCAGCCCAAGCTACAAACCACAAGGTTAAATCTTGATCCAGTTAGAAATCAAACACTGCATCGCTCCGACGTCCATACCAGTGCACCGAAGCACATAGACCAATACAGTCTAAGCTCGTTATAACAGACCTTGATTTTGACCAAGATTTCGGTCTGTTGTAAAAAGAGTATGTTGTATGCAGATATGAAGTTGAGTCAATGATATGTAGAGGAAAACCAACCAAACTTCACTAATCGGTATGTTATATCCAAATGTCTCTTGTAACCAGGTCTGTTGTATTGAGCTTAGACTGTATGCGCTTCGGCGCAATACGTCGTGCGATTTCGACTGGCCAGTGATTTGAGCCGGTGACCGGTAGCTTTGGTCATACTATTGGCGACTCCAGTGAAATCGAGGCCACGTAACGGCAACGCTGAGAAGCTCAAGAGAGGAGGTCGTTTCGACTCAGTTGTCTTCTATCGCTGCTTGGTTCTCGTAGGCAGCATAGAAATAAACATTGTTTCCAGCTATTTTTTTTATGCTTTCACCATGCCATCCTGCGCACCGACTAGAAGAAGGTTTTTATAGTCGAAAAATTGTTTTTGCTTTCATATATAACACTGATTTTAGCTGCAGTGCAAGAAATTTATGGTGGTCCGCGTGCTGAACGATGAAAACGACCTACTTTCGTCCGCCATTTTGCCTGACCAACCCGCCCTTTATAGCTCACTGGAGGCACAAATAGTCTACTGCAGGTATAGGATAGCAGGACAAACCCCACCCTTCAAAGCTCTCTGCTTGCCACTATTGGTGGTTTCCTCCGCTCTACTCCAGCATTTGCTCAGCTAGAGAGGAGCTTATCTCGCTTTTCTTCACGGCCGACGCACACCTTGCGCTTTCCATATTTTTTCATTCCCCCTTCAACCTCTCGCTTGCCACAGTACAATTCCCCTAGCAGCTTAGGAGAGGGGTGCATTGAGAGGATTATCTTCCCTGCAGAAAACAGAGCATGTACTTTGGCCTCTAACCTGCAACAGACTACAATGTAAAATACCAGCCCACTTTCACCAAAAACTGGCCTAATCGAGGTATGGGCACTTAACGTACAACTTGCACAATTCCCAAGTTTGGGAAATGTTAACGAGCACTTGAACGCAGTGGGTACTTCCGCGGTATTTTTCGGTAGTTTCTCGTAGAGTCAGGAAAGGCGCAAATCCGGCATAGAAAAAATCTGGCCCCAGTTCAAAGACGACACCCCAAACTTTCCCGAACCTTGAGGAATCTCCTCCCACTCCGACTCCTCCTCTTCCTCCTCTCCATCCTCCGCGCTGGAGCCGGTCGAGTCGTCCTCGGAAGAGGACTCGACCGCGCCTCCCCCGTCGCCGTCCGAGCCGCTGTCTTCGGCGGCGGACTCGACGCCCGACCCACTCTGCTCGTCCTCGTCGCGGATCACCTGGACGTTGCGCTTGCGCCGCGGAGCAATCTCTTCGTCGGAGCTCATGGTCGTGCCGGCCGCACGCACTCAGGTGGCCATGGCACGGCCCTGCGGAGAGAAGAAAGATTGAACATACTTTAATCGAGGAGCGGCCAGAGGACGTTAGCCAAGAGCTGTAAGAAGACAACCTTTACAATGAAGAGCCGCAAAGGGCATGGCAGTTTTTCTTAAATTTGCTTTTTAGTGTTTTTTTTTTACGAGTTGGCATATAGAATAGCGAGTATGCATCATATTTTGTACGAACCATGTCTACCCTTTTTTCTCGTGCTACCTCCATTTGATTGGAATTATTATCACTATTTCTTTTTTTACCTTGTGCACCAAAGCGAAGACCTATGCGGTTGTTTTCTGGCACAGGAAATAAAGATGATTATTATTAGGATTATTATCTTCTATGGCGGCCGAAGTAAATTCCCCTCATAAAGCGATCGCTCATTATGTTCCTCTATTGTACGCCTCTATCCACAACACAAGCACCTTGTCCAATGTACTACATATGGTGTCACAAAGCTGCCACAATGCAAGCAGTCTTTTAACTTGTAGTTCATTTCCTTCTTATTTTATTTATTTTTTCTTGTAGAGATGCTGGTCGGTATGCTGGTGGTGTCACATCTCGTGGCCGCTTCGGTTTGTGTCGACTGGCGGGATGCAGGGTGACAGCAAAAGAGGCGTCTGCTGCATCCAGCTCTGCTGCTCTACCACCACCGAGACCAATGTAGGCAACAGCCCGACACCTTTAAGCAGTGTTGGGAAGTACTTTAAGTACATTGTACCTAAAGTACTGCTTCAAATAGGTTTAGAAAACTCGTACCTTACTTGAAGTACATTGTCCAAGCATGCACTTGTACTTTAAATTTTTTTTTTTTTTATGTTATTTTTTAAGGAAAGTACAACCTTTGGCTTTAAGGTACATTCCCCAAATACAGTCTCTTTAAATCTGTGTCACAAGATTACGCTTTATCGGCTCCGAAAAAACACTGGGAGGGATATTCTACTTTCATCAGAAACGCGAGCAGACGACGCATCACTCCATTTGTACCGGGGGCGACTTTCCAGCAGCCTTTCGAATTCTTGCCACTTCTCGCTAGGTCGGCTTGAGCGAGGAGGTTAAAAATATTAGGACAGAACACTCCTCCACAAGAGGATTGCTTGCAGAAGCTATGAGGCTGACGTCTTGCTCCCTGTCCTAGTCACTCTCTCCCCATCACAAAAGATTTTGTGCACAGAAAGAACATTGCACCCAGTGTACTTACTACTTTACTTAAAGCATGTAACCTCTCATTTACCTTGCACTTTAGTTCAAGAACTTTTCAGATATACTTTGCCCAACACTGCTTTTATGACATTATCAGGTGGAAAACAAGGGACTACTTTTGAGGATGCTGTAAACCCACCCATTGGACAAGCACTCCAGGCACCATACAATAGCTAGAGGGGAGAGACAAAAAAGTGGAAGGACATACATACTTCTCGTTTTATAATTAATTAATTACTATTATTTATAACTAATTAGCGAGACGAAGGTCCTTCAAATTTAGCAAGTGTGCTGTGGTTGTCCGTGGTGCTCTTCCATATGTAACTATCGTCCCATGCAAGCCAGCCCTACTGACAACATGTGCGATAAAAAGTGTTGTGATCGGCCTTCCACGCTTGGCCAAATGCTTCTGCCATCACCGACGGAAATACGAGCAAAGCCCTACTTTCGACTCTGACGGTGTTGATTTAGGATTGTGATGACTAGGCTTCCGCTGCTCTTTTTATGCAACACCAAACTTGTTGCTCGCTACCAATAATCTTGGTCATGATGTCAGGGATGGGAACCATACGAGGGCACCACCGAAACCTCCCCCTTACAATCACTTTTTTCAACTTTTTTCCAAATTTTTAAACTATTGACATTAAGGGGGTTGGTGGCATGCCATACAAAAACAAACAAGAAAGCACACACATTGACGGGGACCAATTAAAAAAAGTCATCAACATTGAAAATCTTCTATAGTTGTTGCCCTAAAAGAATTGCAAGTTTTGCACACACCTCACATGCTGTGATATTCTTTTTAAGATTTCCTTGTCACAGATATAAATTTCCTTGTCACTTAATTCACCACAAACAGGGGGCAAATAGTAGTGCTCAGTGATGGGCCAAACCTTTTTTTGCTGCAATTCTTGGGATAAAAACAAGAAAAATGCAAACATGCAGACATACAATGACAAACTATAAATCAAAGCACCTCTTTTGATGCAAATATGGAATTCCAAACACAAAATAACTAAGCTTCTTTTTCTTTACAGACTATTATGTTTTTATGCACAGGCTCATCATGAAGGTTCAACAAACTAAATGTTCAAAAGCAGTCTTACTTCAGCACCACTTCCAGTTAATTGCAGGGCACCTTCACCGCCGCAGGCTGTCCAGTGAGGCAGGCTGTGAGCTCATTTTTGTCTGTGTTTTTTCCTTCAAATTCAGCAATCACCCTGGAAAGAAGAGGACGACAGTGAGAGCACAAAATATACAAACACATTAGTGTTTATGGGGGGGGGGGGGGGGGGAAAGAGATGTGAAAGTAAATTTAGCCCGCAATGTTACGAAGTTGTACTTGACACACTTTTCTCTTCAAACCCGTTCAAGTCCACGGTAAGCGATCTGCTCGACTGATCCTGCGTTACGCAGTGCGCGTTAAGTCGTTGCACGGCTGTCATCTTCACGAGACGCAGTTTACACTGTCTCATCACCAATCCAACAGGACTGCAAAAGCGAGCACGATTTATTTTCATATTTACACCTTTATCGCTTCTAAAAAATCCCAATAAATAAATAAATAAAAAATTGAAGACGAGGGTTTAATGTTAGAAAACGGTATCCCAAACTCAACCAGAAAAAAATAACATAAAAAAAATAGACTTGTAGCACGAAGGTGTGAGCGTTAAGGCAAATACGGGAAAAGCCTTCGTTTGAAACTATTACAATTGTTTTTACACCTGAAGCAGTTACAGTGCAGCGCAGCTAAAACAAAACACCTAACGGGCTCGCTAAAAAAAAGAAAAGAAGAGAAAAGGAGCAGAAAAAAAAAAATGTAAAGGAAAATGTAAGACGTTCGGGCAGCCATCCTGAGGAAGATGCTCCGGCAGGGCAGCAGATCCGATCCTCGATGCTTCAAACGAGCACTGTTGATTTGGATTTGAGGTGTTGCGTCGAACCTGCCGCACTCTTTTTTTAAAGTTTATGCTTGTTAGGCTTATCGTTCCGCAAGCGAGGCTCGTTTTACGCTGACATTTGGCATGCTGGAATCAAATCCCGGACGATGAAGGAAAAGGATGCCGTAGGTACGAGTTACCGGCTCGGGCAGCTCTGGAGACGTGCGACGCTAGCACAGAGCACCGCCAACGAAGCGGCCGAGGTCCGTCTTGGGTCGCACCGACCCGACCGACAGACCGACGGCTTTTCGGGCATTCAAACACGAATCGCGGCTTGGGACGAAACAGCCGTCACTGGAGACACACACACACAAACGGTCGCCAAAGGGCTGCGCGGGAACGCAGGAGCGCGGAGATGATCGGCGAAGCAGTGATTACCAGACAGAGTATCGTGGGGGTGCCAACAAAATGCTTTATCCGGAGCTGAGGGAGCTCGTACGCCAGAGCGGCGGCCATTACTGTCCGTAACTGGTTTCTTCCCGGCGTGCATCGCGACCGAAACCCGGATGAGTCTTTGTTTTGGTAAGTTGAATAGAGATGGCGCCAGTTGCAAGCTTTTGGATGGATGGATAGATAAATGGATGACACCAGCTGACCCTTTGTAACGGGTGGTGGCTTGCGCTATCTAGCCTAAAAACAATAACATACCTGATTTTCCTTCTCCTGTTGAAGCCACTACGTTTCTCTATCACCAGGTCATAAGATTATCGTCAGGCAGACCAATGGGGGATCGGAAAAAAAATACAACGCCGAAGGGGCGACAGGCGTACCTAGGGTGACTTTTCTTGGCAAGGCAGTGGAAGGTAGAGGCCCGCGTCCCCTCTCCTATTTTGAGTGTGCGCGGGCTCTCCTCCTCTCCCCGGAAGTGGGGGAGGAGGAGAGCCTGCGTACACTCAAAATGGGAGAGGGGACGCGGGCCTGTACCTTCCACTGCATTGCGAAATGCGGGACACGCGAGGAGGAGGGGGGAAAAGGAGGGGGGGTCACGGACACAGCGAACCAATGCTCTGTTAACACCTTTATTATCTCGCACTGTTTATACACCTGCTAATTGTATTGCAGCAATTAAGCTCAAATAATTTTCACTACCAGTTATAGATTATTTTGAATGCCAAAGATGGTATTACATGTGCCGAAGTTGAAAACATACCAATCGACTGTACCAGAACTCAATGCATCAAATGGAAATAAGAAACAGTAAATATTTTTCTGGTTATTGTTTCCTGTCCACGCTTACTTCTATCAACATGGTCCTACACAACTTTTTAACATTATGTTCTTTTTTGACCGTTGCATGTGTGGCTGCCTTCACTAAAAAAGAAAAAGAAATTCACAGCAAACCTTCCGCATTGGCCTGGTGCTACACAAATTTTGAACATTTTGTTCTTTTTCGACCGTTGCATGTGTGGCTGCCTTCAATAAAAAATATAAATAAACAGATCCACGGAACACCTTTCGCATTGGCACGGCAATTTGAAAATAATTACAATATTTTATATTTAAACTTTGGCGAGAACCTTTTCGTGCAATATATTCCCTCCAAAAGGAGAGGCACAACGTCGCATGCGCGTCGGTCCTCTTGCACGAATGACGGCCGCTTCCCGCAATGCTTGGACAGATCATAGAACATGGCGTACCATTTCGATTCACACAATTACTAGCGACCTCCGCACTTCCCCGTGCCCCATTTTTCAGCAGCACCGTGAGTTGCGGAGTGGATTTTACGACAGTGTGAAATGTAGATTCGGGACTTTCTCGGGGCGGGACGCGGGATACGAGCCCTCAATGCGGGACAGTCCCGCGAGTCGCGGGACGGGTGGTCACCCTAGGCGTACCGCCTGTCGCCTTTTCGGGAAAAGGGGCGGCTCTACAGGGGGCAAGGGTGAGCAGCCGCCCCCCTTAAATTTCTGCCTGCGCCCCAAAAAAAGCCGTCCGGGGGGGGGGGGGGGGGGGGGGGGGAGTTCAGTCTGCAAAGCAAAGGTTGTGGTTTCCCAAAAGGAAAGTTAACGTCGCACATTACGGGCACTTTAGCAATGGTCACGGAGCATCTGTCCTTTCAAGCCAGCCATCCGTCCTTGGAAGCCCCCCCAATGCAGGCAAATAAAATATAAGAATAGAGAAGCACAACACTTTTTTTTAGAAGAAACAGATTTACAAGAGACACACCACTCCCGTCTAGCGTACTTTTCTTACTTTGATTGACTTCTTTCGGTGGAAGAGGGCCCTGCAGGACCCCTTCGTCGAGAATAAGCTTTCTTGCTGAAGGTCAAGCCATAGCCGCTTGACCTTCAGCAGCGGCACGGTGCTGATGTTGCTCGCGGATTACACCGCCCCGCGGAGGCACCATGTGCAGGACTGCTTAAACGGGAAAAGCCGAAAGCAAGGTGGAAAGAGGTGAGAGAGACCTCACTTGGTAGACGGTGCCGGTACGGCTGCTCGTCTGGAAGGATTTTACTAATGCCTTGGCTTCCACATCCCACCGCCAAGCGTAATTTCCTTCCTTCAATTGGAATTTCTTGGTGTAAGCGGGCCCTCGATTGTTCCGCTCACTTCCTGGGGAATGTAATCTGTTCTAGGAAACGTGAAGGTTCTTCCTCTTTTCGGTGTGTGCCATTGCCGCGCGACCTATCGGAGGCGACACTGTGGCCTCAATGCTTGCGGAACGCACCGCTTGCCCTGCGGCGGCATCGAGTGCACTGCTGCTCAAAACACGAAAGGCCAAAAGCAAGGGGGAAAGAGGTGAGCGCGACTCTAAGCAAGGCCGTTGAAACAACGCCGGTTTGTCTATTTGTCTGTTGGGATTCCCCAGTAGAATCTTTGGAAAGTATTCAGAAGGATACAAAGACAGTCCCAGGGGCGGGGCCATAAACTATCACCTGGACCAAACTGGCCTTACCGGTCTCAACATAACAAGCCATTTTCAAGGGCCATTCTTGCTCTGCTACGTTTTCAGCCTCGGTGCCAAATGTTACCAGGATAACGGGCACGAAAAAAGTGCCCCAACAATTATGCTGCTGAACCGAACATGTGCAGCTGAGCCCGATTTCAAGACTCCAAAGGAGACACAAAATCGCAAAAAAAATCAACCGCAGATTTTTTTTTTTTTTTTTGTCTTTCAACAAGCACGTCAAGAAGCAGGACGGCGACCCTTCCGAACCGCCCTCTTCAGGTTCAGTAAACCTGGAGCTTTAGCAGCAGCGGAAAAATCATCCCCAGCCGTACAGTCTTCCTGATGGCCTTCCCAGCGCCTCTACACTCTTAATCTGGTTCCACTTACGTTCCAGATAAGTTCCACTTAAAGCCGGTGTTCCACTCACTTCGACTGCGCCGAGGCAAATTTTTAGCGGATCAGGCGGTTTTAACTGGAACGCTCTTTCTGTATTTTTCTTTTTACGTGGAACCGGTGCATTGGAATCACACGGATCCGCTGTTCCAGTTAATTCTGTTCCACTTACTAAAATGATGTTCAAGATAGATTCTCGGCAATTTTTTTTCTCTTGGTGTTTATAGCACTCTGTTCCACTTACCTTATGTGCTGCAGAGAAACACGACAGAAAGGAAGGAGGCATTCGGTTTTCGAAATTTACGACTTGGTGAAGGACTTTACTTCGTGCACCACTTTTTGATCTCTAAAAAATATTCATTTTGATTAATTCGCTTCAAGCGCAAAATTTAATGTTGTAATTATGCAATATGTTATTGTGATACAAATAAAAAAAAAAAAAAAAAAAAAAACAGTGAGTGCGACGGCGAGCTGGTGGATGTTGATCATGATGTTGATTACCCGAAACTGTGGTAAAAGATGGGAAACTTGGGTTGCATTGTTCGAGAACCCTAGTTCACAGTTTGGAATTGAGGTCACCGTTTACGGTTCAAGTGAAGATCAGTGTGGACTGAAATACAGGGCCGTACCCAGAAAAAAATTTCGGGGGGGGGGGGGGGGGGGGGGGGAGGGGGTTTCGGGGACAACGGCGGCCATTTTGAAAATGTCTATTGTTACTATTGTCTACTAGTTACTTTAGTCGGTTTATTGACCACATTAAGGTAAATCACCCTGAGCTGAAAGAGTATACATGCTCAAGTTGCAGGACAACATTCAATGCAGCCAAGCGTTACAGGGAACACTTCGATGAGTGCCACAGACATGGCTTGTGCTGCCCTGTGCCTGATGCCCACTTATGTAGCTACAGTGTTGTGGATGGTGACTACTCCAGTGTGCACACACCCATTCCGGAAAGTGTGCTGGAGCTGGAATGTCCAGAAATCACTGAAGAAGCAATGTTGTCCAATTTATGTCGGCTGCTGGAGGGACAGCACAGGTGTGCAAAGGTTGCTGTTGACGCTGTAGTGCAAGGTGTATCTGAGATACTTCATGCGAAAGGGCTGAACCTTGACATATCGCAGGTCAGCAGTGATAAGAGAAGAAAACGCCTGTATATGCAAACTGGCATCTATATAAAACCTTCCGAAAAAGTTCTGAAAAATGGCTCTAAGGCCTACTATGTCCCATTCAGTGCCTTGCTCCAAAACCTTTTCAAGCACCCTGAAACAGCCAAGTACCTGCAGCAGCCTTTCTCCCGCTCTAGCGATGGGTTTCTTAGAGACTTTTGCGATGGCATGAGGTTTAGCACCCATACCGTCTTGACAGATCAGAGAAATTCAGTTGCCATTCTGCTCTACTCTGACGATATTGAGCTTGCCAATCCTTTAGGCATGAAAAGAGGCACTTGTGGGAAGCTTACAGTCTTTTATGTTATGTTTGCAAACTTTCCTCCTTCGAAACGATCATTGCTTAATTCAATTTTTCTTCTTGCTTTGGGCAACTCAAGTGACGTAAAAAGTGTGGAAGCAAAGACAGAATTGCTGGAAGAGTTCATTTCAACAGTAAATAAATTATCATCTCCTGGGATTAAACTAGAAGTTGAAGGGGAACAAGTTCCCATTTGTGGGTGTCTGCTCGCATTCTTGGGAGACAACCTTGCATGCCATAACATTGCAGGGTTTAAAGAGTCCTTTTCCCGTAATGTTCGCTATGGTTGTCGCCGCTGCACTTTGCGCAGCTGTGATTTTCCAAAGGTGTTTTTGCATGCCGAATGTCCCTTGAGAACAGACAGCGAAATTGAGAGGCAGGTGCAAGAGCTGATGCACACAGAAAATGTGACAGAGAAAAGGGAGCTGTCAGCCTCTTACGGCATCAAAGGGCCATCCATTCTGAGTCTTGTCAATGACTTTTCATTAAAACTGGACCCCCTTTTTGACCCGATGCATGTTTTACTAGAAGGTGTAGTTCCGAAAGAAATTACGCTGTTTTTACAACACCAAATTCACAATCTGCATAATTTTACGAGGAGGCAACTAAATGATGCTTTGAGTGCGTTTCAGTTTGACAGGGCAGTCAGCCAGCGACTACCCACGTCCTTTTGATGCCGGTCTAAATTTGGTGACATCTGCAAGTGCTACGTCTGTTTTAATATTGCATCT